CTAAACCCTAAACCCTAAACCCTAAACCCTCAACCCTCAACCCTCAACCCTCAACCCTCAACCCTCAACCCTCAACCCTCAACCCTGAGCTGAGGCATGCTTTTTTTCCAGACCTTCAGCGGCGCTTGAAGCATCCACAGAGCTTCTGCTGAGAAGTGTTAAGTGGCTCTCTCTTGCGTCCGTCGGTTCGTACTTAGACCGGTGATGGCTGACTTAGACCGGTGATGGCTGACTTGCATGTTTCGGGTTTAGGGTTTAGGGTTTAGGGTTTCGGGTTTAGGGTTTAGGGTTTAGTGAGAATTGGCGTAGGTGCACTTGCAAAGGCAAACACTTTCCTAGACTCTTGCATCCCTTCAATATTCCGATCGATTCCGGGGCTGCTCGCCCCTAAGGCACCCTTTCATTTGCTTTGCTTGGCATCGGTGTGCAAGTCGTGTGCAGGAAGTCGTTTGAGTTTCTCAACGCGCTCAGCTACTAGAGTAGGGTTACTTTAGAGACTGCCCCACCACTTTACAACAAATTCTGAGGGCAACTTCCGCTAGCGTATGAGCACAGAGAAATGATGATGTGAAGGCATACGCCGCAGCTTTTGCCAAAGTGGCTCGTTCGTTTCACTTGCCGTCTTGTGTTGGCGTTAACTTGGCCCAACTCTGCCACCGCAACGTGTGGAGCCTTTCTCTGGCTCTTTCTGAAATCCGAGTCGCCAACACCCTAAACCCTAAACCCTAAACCCTACACCCTAAACCCTAATCCCTAAACCGTGACTTTGCCAAGGAAATTCTCCGGCTGCTTGAAGCGGGCCTACGGCATGGCGGCCCTGCTGTACGTCGTTGTTGGCGTGGCCGGCCACCTGACCTCAATTGTGGTACCAAGGTGGGCTACTAGGCCTTATACTCCCCATAACCAACCCTATAAAAGGCCTTTTTAGGGGTTAGAGCGTATAATCGCCCGTGCTGGGTAGGTCAGCACGTGTAGCAGCGCCACAGTGCGTTGCAGAACGCTCCGTGATTCAAAAGCCAACCCCTGCTTCGGCAGCTACCACTCCCCTCGTCAGAAACGATGGATCCTGCCGCAGAAAACTACATGAAACATTATGAGGGTTAGCGGAAGCTATCCATTCTTCGAAATGCTTCGCATTCCTTCCCACTCGATGGTTCCCCAATTCCAATAGTCTTTAATTGGCCCTTGGCCCAGCTTGTCTTTGTGCATACTTCACCCCTCCCGACACTGCTCACAATGCGGCAGCACTCAATTATGCCCCCCCATTCCTCATTCCTGTCTGTTGACTTCGAGGGAAGAAAAGCCGCGTTAAAGCCAACAGGCTACGTCCTTTTCGGAGATGCTGTCCAGCCCTGCGCGATTCAAAATGTGGGGTGGACGCGTGACTTCAAGCAGCTCGGCCTCGAGCCTCTTAAGCCCCAAAAGAGGAGCTGCTAGGATGGCGTTAGATCGAAGATGGCTGTGCTTGACAGAATTGCTTGCCAGAGCCTGCCAATGCGTCAGGGTCAAGTACTCACTAGAGCAAGACAGACTATGTCCGGCTGAGTATGTCCGGCACAAGAGAAACTGACGAGACCTTCCTTCTAAAGCGCGCAGGCCTCTGCCAAACATGCACTGGATGGCGGTTGCGTCTGCCGCAGGGGGCCCAAGTAGCAGCAGGTACCCTTTCTGGTTTTCTGATAAGAGGCAGGCCAGAAGTGCCAGGATTGCTGTAGTGGAGCATGTCTGCCCAAGCACTGGCCGCATACTCTGTAGACGTTGCAGCTGGAGCTTAGCATTCCACTTTGTTGTCAGGCTGGCATGGCTGTGCGGCTTCTTCTGATGCAGGCATGCAGGGGATGCTAAGGGGGGTCGTTTTCGTGCTTCTTATGCGCGAGATTTGAAGGCAAAAGCAGAACGGAAATGTTTGCAGGATCCTGCACGTGCTACGAGCAGAGAGACCATGAGAGAACTGAGAGACGACCGTAGCGCACGGGCACGGGTTGATGTTGGGATGCTGCCCCTTCTACTAACAGTCCTTGACAAGATTTATAGTACCCCCTATTATAGTCCCTATAAAGGACTGTTAGTATAAGGGGGAATATCCCAAGGTCGATACTTGTTGGCGTGTAAGAACGGAAAGCTCAGCAGCTGGTGTGAGGCCTTTGTCCTTCCGACGCTGTGCTCCACCGTGCAAGCACTTCTCGGTTGTCCTGCCGGCTTGCAAGGCGTGGCTCTCATGTGTGACCAGCCTCAGATCCCACAATTGTCCTAGGTAGGAGAAGGGAGACCCTTAACAGGGAAACCTTCTTAACCCTCTTCTGGCTCTCTTAAACAGGGACCTTATTCAGAGGGTCTATATCCCCAAGGGTCCCCCCTAATCATCTCCCCTAGTTAAATTGGTGGTCCGCTCCCTGGCAGGAGTGCTTACTTCCGGGGTGCTGGCAACCTCTGCAGGACTGGGAGTCCACCTTGGTTGGCCAGCTGGAGCAAGTATGCAGCATGCAGCTAAGAACACCCCCCCCCCCGTCCCCCCTGGCTACCCCGTCCTGTCGAGACGCTGGATTGAAATCATGATTGGCGCATCAACCAACCAAGGAGTATCGGGACACGATTACACTGCACCTCCTTCTTCGGCGCTGTGTCACTCTCCCACTGTCACTGCAAAGCTCCCAAACTCTCAGTTCTACCCTGAACCTGGAGTTTTGGCCTGCGTGCGTGCCAGTTGAGTCGAAACCCTAAATCCAAAACCCTAACCTTACAAGAGGTAGGGCGACGAGCTGCCTCGAGCCACCACGGTCAAAGTCATGTCAACGTCTTGTGAGGAATCGCGGTGCTCTTTGCCAAGCAAGCAGTCTTGCTGCTAAACATTCTCGGATGCACCATGTGCTCCAACATTGCGGCGGCCTGATCTTCCCCATTTCTTGCGCCCCCTAAACCCTAAACCCTAAACCCTAAACCCTAAACCCTAAACCCTAAACCCTAAACCCTAAAAGCTCTGCAGAGCCTTGGAGCAGTCAGGCCTTCACGATGCCGGTCGCTTGCTACTGGCAGCTTTCGAGGCGTGGAGCTGAGGGTTAGAAGAACGACTCCCCTAAACCCTAAAAGTAAAAACAAATATACATATATGTATATATATATATATACATATATATATATATATACATATGCTGTGTATATATATATATCTACATATATATATATAAACATATGCTGTGTACATATGTATATATGTATCATATTGTCTGCTGTATATTATGTACCATACATCCCTAAGCCCTGCTAAACCAGCTCCTTCTAAGGCAGTCCCGGGGGCTGCCCTGGTATGAGAAGGCCCATTGGCAGCACCAGAAAACGATGCGCTCTGATGTGGGGGTTTCCGAACTATAGGGGTACCGTGTAAGGGGGTACCCCTAGGCTTTGACCCATGTCTACTAACTGCCCCAGAATCCCCAAAAAATAGAACTTGTTCTTCCTTATTAAGGGTACTCTAGGGATGATGATTGTTTGTGTTTATATTCTTTTGGGGTTCTTATAGGCAAATGGTAGATGTGCAAGAGCGTCTCGCGCTGCTCCCGCCAGGTTTGCTTGGCAGGCCTTCTTTGTATGGGCTGGCTCTTCACCATCCTCGGGATTTTCAGCTCCTTGGAGTCTATTGTTGTGGGAGTCAGGGTTCAGGGGTTAGGTTAGGGTTAGGGTTTAGGGTTTTGAGAGGCGTTCGAGTGTTCTCATAGCAATGGACGACAGATGTGTCTGCGCGCCAATGGCATTCTAAGGCGTGGCCAGAACTCCAAGTGCACACCCAGCCTGAGGCCAATATGGGGGTTTCCGAAATTCAGGGTACATTCTTGGGGTCCTTATTCCTACTATTTGGAGATCTATATTGGGGGCCCCCCTATTTTCGTAAGCCCCAATATCAAGATCTCCAGAGAAAACCTACCACCACAGGCAAACAAAGCAGTAACTTCGTAAACTGTGCTTCCTCGACCTTCCCGGACGTATGTAGCTTCATGTAATGGACCGAGGCCACAGCCTGAGCACCCCAAATGACGCAAGAGGCACACTTCACACCGAAACCCTCCCTAAAAACCCTACACCCTAGACCCTAATCATCTTTAACCCAAAAGCTCTCAAGCCTCAAGCTTGCAGGCAAAGGCTCTTCAAAGTGACTGCGCCGCCGGGACCATCGCGGTAAGTTGAACAGTGTCGCTTTGGTTTGTACACTACTGGTCGTAGGAATGGTAAGAATAAGAATAATCACAGTCATAGTAAGAATAAGAATAATCACAATCAGAATCAAAATCATAATCATGATAGGAATCATGGTAATAGTAAGAATAGTAATTGTACGAATGGTAACATACCATGTAATCGTAAGGGTAGGACATAGAAGAGTTATAAACGTGGCAATCCTGTGGCATTCTGTAGCTGCAGCTTTAACTGTTTTTGCCTGTGCGCGAAGATCGCGAGCGAGGAAAGTCAAAGGTGCTGCCAAGCGATGCGAGCTAGCTTTGATGATGCCGTCGTCTTTCTTGTTCAAGGAGCTGCTGTGCCTGCAGACTTGCTGAACTATTCATTGCTTAAGAACCCGGAGAAAAGATTCCTCCTTGTTAAGGGCAATATAGGGATTATTACTTTTAGTCTTTTGGGGTTCCTAAGCAAATGGTAGTTAAAGTCATGTGAACGCGTGGACTCCTCGTCTGAGGTGTACGCTGATCTGAGCTGAGCTCATACACGGGATGTACAGCAACCGATTCCGATTAGGATGCCTTGCCCAACTTGCTACGCACTGGCTAGCCTGCGCTGGCCACAGCTTTCTCCTGCGACCTCGGATCGTTGGAGAAAATGCGGCTGCAAGTGATGTGGGGAACGGGTGGGGTGGTCAGGGTTCTGCCCTAAACCCTAAACCCTAAACCCCCAAGAACGCCACAAGGATCCTCAGAGTCAGAGGATGCTACAGAATAGCAGAGCGCGTTTGCAGTAAGGCTCAAGGTCAGGCTGCTGCTCTTTGCTTTAGGCAAATGAGTGGCCCTTTGCCACGCCACCTTTTTGGGCGCGGAGCACTGCTGTGGATCCTGGCCAAATGGCCACTCTGCCATTGCAGTCGTGCCTTTCTGTGCGAGCAAGTCGATAGAGTCAGGAATTCAACTCTGCCCCAAGAGTATGCTTTAGAGGGCGTCCACATCAAGATCGGGACAGGCATGTGGGACGACAGATTTCTGGCGTGGGATGCAACAAAAGGCACTTACGTGGGCTTGGAGGTAGAACTGCTTGAGGACGGGTGGTCTGCCCACGTGAGAAAGGAACGCGAGAGAGAGAGAGAGAGAGAGAGAGAGAGAGCAGCGGTCACATTGAAAGCAGGAGCAGCACGGTGCAAGAAACAATCATTCTCCTGAAATGCCCCCAAAGGTCCCGTTTTCCTTCACGGCTACTCACTGACATTGTCCTGCAGGAGCTTGCTGATCGCGCCCGCTTTACCTACTCGCTTGAAATGCACAACTGGACGTCGGACGACTGGCTGACGCAGCTTGAAGGTGCGGTCCGACTGTATCTTTGTCATAGGGGGTAGCATTTTACATTTCTAATGGTACTTAAGCCCAATAAGGAACAAGCATTTAAATTTTCAATATGATCCCAACAATGAACTAGGTATGATGTCGTCACCTACGCCTATTGGTTTATCACACCTGAGCGCATGAGCAAGGGTGCCTACAGCCCTTACGGGTTCTTGAATGCCATGTACTGGGCAGTCGTCATGGAGGAAGTCAAGACGGGGATAGATGTGGAAGAGATCTTCTCATTCCTCGCACCATTCAGTGGCCCCGTCTGGTTCAGCTTCCTGGGCCTTATGAGCCCTAGTAGCACAGTAGGTAACCTTTAACCTTTTTTTGGGTAATAGAATCCCCTTATAACCCTAAAGGTTAACCTTTAGTTCCCTCAGGTTACTGGACAACTAAGGATCGGCACAGGGCTGATGTATCGCTTCCTGGAGGTGGCCCACAATGCAGAGGACTTCCCGGATGGACCCCAGGGCTCGTGTAAGTGCAAGCGCACAACCTGGACACAGTACCTTAGGGGGTGCTTGGAAATAGTTTTTTTTAACTTTTGGGTACTAGAATTCCTATAAGAAACAGGAAAAAATAAAATATGATTTTTTGTTCTGGTGTTCCAAGTTCACTATATATAGGTATTAAACCCAATAAGGAATTTAAAAAAATGAATTTTTTAATACTATCCCAACCGTGACCTAGGTACATGGATTCCATCTTCCAGTCTTCGGGCCACATCACGGGAGCATCCGGCTTTTCTCCAAAGACGTGGGCAGGAAAGATCCTGGTCATGTCAGTGGCTCAGTGGCTCAGTGGCTCAGAGGCTCAGGTTTAGGGTTTAGGGTTTAGGGTTTAGGGTTTAGGGTTTGGGGTTTGGGGTTTGGGGTTTGGGGTTTGGGGTTTGGGGTTTGGGGTTTGGGGTTGGGGGTTTGGGGTTGGGGTTTGGGGTTTGGGGTTTGGGGTTTGGGGTTTGGGGTTTGGGGTTTGGGGTTTGGGGTTTGGGGTTTGGGGTTTGGGGTTTGGGTTAGGGTTTAGGGTCTTTAGGCTCAGTGGACTTCGTGTGCAAGGCCGCAAGATGCCGCACTTGCCATGGTGTTGCAGCGACACACGCGTTTCCAGCGGGGGCCGTTGCCGTTAGCAGAACGCGCCGAAAACGCAAGCCCTACGCCCAGCTCTTGCTTCAAACATTTCGCCAGCTGAGAGTGCCTGAAGCTTCTTGAGTCCTGCACGACAAGCATATTCCAGCCAAAAAGCCGAAGTTCGAAGCCTTGCAATGGTGAGAACATGTTAGGCACAATCCAAGATATGGCTGTTCCTCCTCGTTCTTCTCTTCCCTACGCGTATGCTCATGCTTTTCCTTGGCTTCCTTCTCGTCCGTATTTGGCTTTCTTCCTCCTCCTCGCTCGCTCTCGTCCTCCCCTCTCCCTCTTCTGATCTCTTTCCTCCTCGTCTCTTCCCTCTCTACTCTCCCTCCAGCACTCTGCTTGCGAAAATGTTAAGCACGGACACAGGCTTTCGTCAGGTTCCCCTGGTACCATGCAAGCAACAAGCAAGCATAGCAGAAAAACAGAAGCAGCGAAAGAGATAAACTGCAAAAGGCATGTACCACATACACATGCCGTTTCCACTTGTTTGGCGCTCAGGAAGGGTTTATGGGCAATGGGTTCAGGGGCAATTCGTGGTCAGTACGATCCAACACAGATGGCCTGAGGTCGTGGACATGGTGTGTGGTATTGATTTTGGCAGCATACACCGCCAATCTGGCGTCCTTTCTTGTTGTTCAGGCCAAGGCGCAGCCATCTTTCACTTCTCTGGATGGTGCTGTCCGCAGGAACAAGAAGATCTGCGTTTCCAAGGGCTCTGCTGATGAGGACTGGTTCCAGGCCAGGTATGCCCGCTACGACAACTTAATGGCCGTCCAATCTGGCCCCGCTGAGCGTGCCGCACTTTTGCGCGACGGCACGTGTGACGTCGCCACCTTTGCAAAGTTTGAGTACGATTTCCTGAGGCAGACGGCAAGTGTGAATCCCAGCTGCTACATGCAGACTATAGGGGACCCTTTTCAGAACATGGATGCTGGGTGGATGGTCCTTAATGACGTTCAGGATTCTTGCACCTCATTGGTGCGCGATGTTCTGGGCTTCTGGTTCCTACGGATGGAGTTAGATGGAACGCTCGAAGCTCTCGTTCGCAGGGCATTGATGCCGGTGGAGAACTGTCCCGTTGAGTCGACCTCGGGTGACAGTGAAGCCTCAGCCGGTCAGCTTACGATTGAGAGCATGCTCGGGATATTCACTGTGCACGCAGTCGGTGTTGGCACTGCTCTGCTTTTTCACTTGTTCTCGGGTGCCCCGAAAGCATTGACCAAGGGTCTTACAAGAACATTCACCAGCTCTCGTGTTTCACCACAAGATCACATGGTTCACAAGAAGGATCAAGCCGGTGGCGAGGCGTGGGGGGAAGGCGAACTTCAGTAGAAGCATCCTGATATGGGGCCTCTTTCAGTCGCATACCGTAAAGTTATACTTGTGTGTTGCAACCTACGGCGCCTGCTTTCCTGCGCCAACACTTTTTAATTGGTGCTTCTTGGTGATAGCCAGAGTGTGGGCTAGGCGGGCAAAAGAGAATACTACGCAGAATGTTTGGCCGTCTTGCAGCACGTTGCCAATGACTACCCCGGCTGTCTTTCAGCAAGTTCCCATAGACCTACCCCGCCGCCGCTCAAAGGATGCATCGCAGTAGTTTACTGTAGCAGGCGGCTGCGTGTAGAAAGCCACGATGGAAGATCTATTTTCACTTCCGTTCGAGGAGTGGATCCAGCAACCACAGGTCATAATCGGACTGGTGATGGCCGGGATCACTCCGTTGGCTATGCCGGCGTTGGTGCGTTCAGAATCTTGGGGACTGGGTAAGTAATCTTTAACCTTGTTGGTTCTATAGAGTCCTATTCCCTAAACCCTAAACCCTGAAATAAAGGTTAACTTTTTTTGGGCTCGGGCACTCAGCCCCTAAGGAATTCTGTCTCAACAGTTGTTCATCACACGGCTGGCACAAGGACCGCACATACAACATGGAGGTCGTTCGTACGACAGGACTTCTTTGGGAGGGAAGCTGCCTCTTCTTGCTAGTGTCTATATCCCCCCTTGGGAATTATGTTTTTTTGATGTTTTGTTTATATAAAAAGCCAAGAGGATATTAAGAATTATGCTTTTTAGTAAGGTTCTAAGGGGGAGCATAGGTGTATGGTTGTGCCAAGTACACCACGGCTTGGGCAATGGTCGGAGTGTTTATCTATTCCTTTGTGAGATCCATGGCGATGATTGCTGTGACTTACGTCCTGGCCAGAAAAAGAATGGCGCAGGGTGTCACTGAAGACACTCCACTGGAGCCTGTGAGCGTGTACACCGACATTGAAGCCGGCACATTCCTCAAATGCCTGAGCGTATTCGTGCTTCAGATGCTGCTCTACGTGCTGCTCTTGCGCTGGATAGCTTCGAAGTCCTTCATCGAGGAGGATGCGACAGACGAGGAGCTGGCACGTTATGCGGCAGGCTCCATAGTCGCCACCGTTCAGCGGACGATGAGCCAAGGGTTCCGTTCAGGTGAGCTTCTTGGCAGCCCAGTGGTACTCTTTTCCCTTCTTGTTGGTTCAAGGTTCCCCTAAAAGTAACCAACCGAAAGAAGGGGTGCCCTTCTTATAATGTGGCGACTTGGCTACCCAGGCTTGAAGCATTTTGGATGACGTATTTCTTCGGGTGTGAGGGAAAGTACCGTCGACCGTATCACTATCCAAAGATGCGCCTGGTGATGTCGTGGATTGTGAATGACCTTCTTTCCACCTCCGTCTTCCTTCTGCTACCTCTCGTAACCATGGGTTCCGACAATGACATGGAGTTTGTCAAGGACTGCACGGCAGTTCTTTTCATATCCCAGTTGGACAGTTTCGAGGCAGACCTGGGCGAAGGGCATTTCTTGCATCCAGATACAGGAAACAGAGACATCAATCCGGATAGCGAAAGCAGCGACGCCGCTTCCCCCAAGGCTGCTGCAACAGACGTGGGAGGAGATGCCTTGGAGCAATCCAAGCCAGTCCAGCTGTAGGGTAGACGTGGACAAGAGTGCACCCAGGGCAACAGTGAGGGAACGTGCAGCATGTACTTGCCTTTTCAAGAGCATGAGCTTTTTGAGTTGCTCCTTCAGTACATGCCACGCTAGCCTGTTCCTTGTAGGTGATTTGGCTGCCTTGCATGCTAATCGCTGCAGCAAACGGAAGTCAAGTCGAAATTTGTTATTGGCAGTTTGGTACTGGCAGAACATGTGCCGACACCATTGTCATTGGAGTAGTAGTTACATCGAAAATGCCAGGATTGCTGAGCAATCTCAACGAGTTTATGCTGGGAAGCGGTTCATACGCAAGACAGCTATATGCAAAAAGCGTGTCGGCGTAGCCCGTGTGCCAGGGGATGAATTGGACGTGTGCTCCCGTGCCTGTTCTTGAAGACGACAGCATGCATCGCCGCCCTATGCCACCTTTGAACGCCTTCCCGGAGTTTAATGCAATGTGTGCTGTACCGGGACTCTTGTCCGAACTGCATACCAATCTGCAAAAGCCTTGGTAAGCTAGCTGTGTGCCACTCGTAGCAGATACTGGTAGCATCGGCAGAGGAGTATGGTCCACCATCGTCGCGCTATGGTCTCATGAAGGCCGCGTGCCCGTGCAGGTGCTGACATGCAGCACAGGAGCACTGCGTCCCAGCATGTTCCGGGCACCAGCCTTTGATGTCCTCTCGGCTCAGGACATTTGATGCACATCGCTGTGGCGATGTCCGACGGAGCAGATCATGCTTGAACGGGCGTTCGCTCTGCTCACATTTAGGTTCGCGGATGCTTTCGCGGCAGCCTCAGCCGGAGCCTACCAACACCATCCCAACTGCAACTCTCACAACAGACCAAGATCTGCGCTGCTCTGGGGCAAGTAGGGGCCTAATTCAGCTTCTCGCACATCCAGTTGACAAACGAAAGCGTTTTCAGAAGCATGCCGCAGGTTTCGCAAGAAGCCCTTAAGAGCAAAAGGGGGAAGCAGCTTTCCGACATCGTGCAACCGATAGCTCACGCGACGGGGCTGAGGTTCAATTCTTCCTTTATCCGCCCCACTTCGAAAGTGATGGCATCCTGAGCACATGGTACAGCTACCTGGCATGGAGGGTTTAGGTGTAAATCCCTTCCCCCCCCAAAAAAATTAATAGTCCCCCCTCCCCTTGCCATCAACCCCCCAAAACCCCCCAAGGGTTTATATTAGGGGTGTTCTAATACTAGGGGGAAGGGTTTAGGGCTCGCTTGGGGCTCTTAGATTACTTTTTCTTGGTAGGGTTAACCCGGGGGTCTAAAGATGTTTAGGGCTAGGGTTCATGCATAGGGTCAAATCAGGTCAATTATACGACGAGCTACAGACGCACCCGTGGCGGACCACATCCCCGGAACAAGCCTCCATCTTCTTCCTCGGAATCGACGTACATGAGTGGCACTGATGGGGTTTAGGGTTTTGGGGTTCAGGAGCCACCCAGGCGTGAACCCAACAAGCCTCTTGCAAAAAGGGTTTCGGGGTGGAGGCTGAATTGCCAGTGTCAACGTCAAATGCTTCGAATTGGTTAGTGGTGTGCAGCTGCAACAAGGCGCTGATGTACCGTTGCAGGGGATTCTTCGCGTATAGGTCTGGATGTGATGTGCATTCCATGTCTATGTCGCTGAAAATAACACCAGTCACCAGTCCGTTGTTTTGGTTGTTCTTGGGTTGTGAAGACAGCAGGCATGATGGCACGCTGGGTCATGAGACGGGTCATGGACCTTGCAGAAGTACGTACTGTCCGCAGGTCAGTTGTGCTTACTTGTGGCCAGTGTGGCAAGGCTGCATTGAGAGTTACATGAGCTGCCTCTTGCCATGTATGAAACCCTAAACCGGAAACCCTAAACCCTAAACCGTTCATCGGTACAAGTGCTTCAGTTCTGCGGTCGGCAAGCGTGTTTTGAGGTATTCTGCCCCGGTTCCTGGCGCCGTCAACTATGAAACGAAGGCCCCATTGGCGGCAAGTCCTGACGCTTCGCGGTTCCCTCCCCCCTAAACCCTAACCCTAAACCCCAAACCCCAAACCCCCGGAGGTTCTCCTCGCATGAAGTCTCCCAACCCAAAGAATGCCGTAGAGATCCGTAGAGTATTTCTGGGGGCATCCCGCAGTTCTGAAGAAAGTTGGGTTTAGGGTTTAGGGTTTAGGGTTTAGGGTTTAGGGTTTAGGGTTTAGGGTTTAGGGTTTAGGGTTTAGGGTTTAGGGTTTAGGGTTTAGGGTAACATTTTAAATTTTTCAAGGGTACTTAACACCAGTAAGGAATAAGCATTCAGATGTGTCATATGATCCCAACCATGAACTAGAGAGAATCAAAGCGGAGCAGGGTGCCCTAGACCCTAAACCCTAAACCCTAAACCCTAAACCCTAAACCCTAAACCCTAAACCCACTTGGTCGCGTTTTCGTTTAGTTCAAGGCCCCCTTCTAACACAACCTGCCTCAAGAAAGGGTGCCCTTACTGGATGGTGAGTGGGCTACCAAGTGGTGATTTCTTTGGGGTCCTTATTATAAGGGTTCCCCTCTTATTTCGGGTACCCCAAAAGGGACCATCATGATTTGAAGAACTCGCCAAGTCGAGTGTCACTTCCCAGAGGATCCTGCAAATCCTGGAGCGCCCCTAAACCCTAAACCCTAAACCCTAAACCCTAAACCCTAAACCCTAAACCCTAAACCCTAACCCCCCCTTCCAATGCCCTAGATGGAGATTTCGGGGGGTTCCAGGAGACCCAGGGCTGAGCTCTGTAGGCCCATTTAGGCTGGGGCCCACGATGATCCCCTCATCATCATCCTCATCATCATCATGAGATATCGGTCATGTATACATATATACAGATATATATATATATATAGATGGTCACCCCCCCCCCCCCTCGACAGACCCCGGAAGTATATTTCCGGTCTGTTCAGGAAGGGGGCGGGGGGGCACTTTTCCTCGCACTTCCGTCAGCAACTCCAGTAGCTGTTGCTAGCATAGCTCTCTGTGTTTTTAATATATTTCATATTTCTCATGAGTGTAGAACCCCGAAAAGAATCTCACCAAAACCTGAGTTTCCAAAAATCCAACAATCCAAAAATCCCAACCCAAGTTTCGGATTTTTGGAAACTCGAGGAATTTGCTCAAAATCCAAAAAAACCCAAAATTCCTCGAGTTTCCAAAATTCCAAAAATCCAAAAATCCCAACCCCAGTTTCGGATTTTTGGAAACTCGAGGAATTTGCTCAAAATCCAAAAAAACCCAACATTCCTCGAGTTTCCAAAATTCCCAAAATCCAAAAACTCCACCCCAAGGTTTGGACTTTTAGAAACTCGAGCGGGAGCCTCGAAATCCAAAAAAACCCAAAATTCCTCAAGTTTCTAAAATTGCAAAAATCCAAAAATTCCAACCCCAGTTTCGGATTTTTGGAAACTCGAGGAATTTGCTCAAAATCCAAAAAAACCCAAAATTCCTCGAGTTTCCAAAATTCCAAAAATCCAAAAATCCCAACCCCACTTTCGGATTTTTGGAAACTCGGGGAATTTGGGGTTTTTTTGGATTTTGAGCAAATTCCACGAGTTTCCAAAAATCCGAAACTGGGGTTGGGATTTTTGGATTTTTGGATTTTTGGAAACTCGAGGAATTTTGGGTTTTTCGGATTTTGAGCAAATTCCTCGAGTTTCCAAGAATCCGAAACTGGGGTTGGGATTTTTGGAATTTTGGAAACTCGAGGAATTTTGGGTTTTTTTGGATTTTGAGCAAATTCCTCGAGTTTCCAAAACTCCGAAACTGGGGTTGGGATTTTTGGATTTTTGGATTTTTGGAAACTCGAGGAATTTTGGGTTTTTTTGGATTTTGAGCAAATTCCTCGAGTTTCCAAAATTCCAAACCTTGGGGTGGATTTTTTGGATTTTTGGAATTTTGGAAACTCGAGGAATTTGCTCGATTTTTGGATTTTGAGGCTCCCGCTCGAGTTTCCAAAAATCCAAACCTTTGGGGTTGGATTTTTAGAAACTGGCTTTTTGATAAGAGTTTTTCAGGGGTTCTTATATGATTCCTTATTATGTTTTAGGCTGCCTATTAAATTTAATAATACTCCTGTTCACTTTGACGGAGTCCTTATTTAATTTATAAGACTCCTAATCATTTTACTAGCATTCTAAGTGATCTTCAATGGCAATGGGATTCCTGTATTTGTTCAATGGGGTTCGTATTAGATTTTAAAGGATGCCTGTTAAAGGACTTTATTGGGTTTAATATTGATTCCTATTCATTTTAATCAAATGCCACATAATTGGAATACGTTTCTGAGTAATTGTAATAGCATTCTTCTTCCTAGTTGTTTTAATAAAAGCCTTAGAATTTTAATAAGCTTCATAACAAAATTTTATACATATTCCTGTTAATTTCAGTAGGCTTCTTATTCATTTTCATAAGATGTCTTACAATTTCTAATTGGGTTCCTTTTGCTTTGACAAGCTTCCTATTCATTTAAAAAGGCTTCTGATTAATTGGAATAGGCTTCGTATTCATTTTAACAGGGTTTCTCATTCATGTTGACAGGATTCCTAATAATGTTCATAGGATTCCTACTAGATTCCACAGTGCTCCGATAATGTTTTTAAATCCTGTTCCCTATTCATTTCAATTGGACTCGAAGTAATGTTATTGAAACTCTCATTTGGTTTATTAGCAATCCTGTTAATTAAATTTTTTAATAGGGTTTATTATAATTGTAACAGTACGACTCTTATTGTTTTAAGTTTGAAGGGTCCACATTACTTTTTTTTATAGAATTTTATTGGCTCCTCTTAATCCTTTAATAGGATTCATCTTCATGTTACACGGATTCCTGTTACTCTTAAAAAGAATTCATCGATTTTTTTATAGGGTTCCTATTAATTTTAATAGCATTCCTATGAATTCAAAAGGGTTCCTATTCATTTGAATGGCCTTCCTATGGTTCCTCTGAATTTTAGGACGCCAAGAAATTTTAATAGGAACTTCTACGTATTTCAACCAGGTTCTTATTAATTGTACTCGGATTCTTACTAAGTTTTCAAAAAGGACTCGTCTTAATTTCAATAGGGTTCTCATTCATTTTAATGGGGTTCCTATTGATTCAAACAGGATTCCTATTGAACTCATACGAAGCCTATGAATCCTAATAAACTTAATAGGAACCCAAGTAAAACTAAGAGCAATCTTATTAAAATTAATAGCAATCCACGATGTCGAGCAAGTTGTTCAGGTCCTTACAGCATGCGTCCTTCTCACATCTGTCTGCATCTTTCATTGCGAACACAAAGCCGTACTAATCGAAAAACATATGCTCCATTGTGTGTTAACGTGTCTGGCTACTGTGTGCAGCTATGCTGTCCGTCGCGCCCTCAGCCCTTTTTTTGCTTCCGGGGTCTGTCGAGGGGAGGGGGGTGAGCATATAGATATATGTGTGTGATAAAAAAATATATACATATACATATATATATATATATATATATCTTCATTTATTTCTTCATTTATTTAATTTCTTCTCTGCAGGCCCGCTGGGGCACACTGGGCGACTCGCGGACTTGCCGCGAATCTCGCCAAGCCCGCTTGGAGGCATATGTCAGGCTCGCGCGAACCACGTAGCATTTGCACACGAGGGTCACGAGCTTGTCCCTCAAGCCCTAAACCCTAAACTCTAAACTCTGATAAACCCTAAGCCCAAGAAAAGAAACAACTCTGATAAACCCTAAACCCTCCCGCAGAAATGGTTGGGCCACATACTGGGGAGTGGCTGGAAAGCAGCATGTGGTCTTCGACCAGCGGCCTTTCTGCAATCTGGCCCTAAACACTAAACCCTAAACCCTAAACCCTAAACCCTAAACCCTAAACCCTAAACCCTAAACCCTAAACCCTAAACCCTAAACCCTAAACCCTAAACCCTAAACCCTAAACCCTGAACCGGCCGAAACGAACATCACCTTTAAGCCCCCAACCGCCTGCCTCATCACTTCTATGGGCTCTCACCCCTACATCCCCCTTGGGAATTATGTTTTATGTGAGAAATACTATTACTATTATTAGTATTATTATTATTAAGGTTCTAAGGGGAGTATAGACCCCAGGTTGTGCTACAACCCCGTGTCCGAGCTGGTGCACGCTCACCATTCCGTGACTCTGGCAGGGGTGGGACACTTGAGAGGCAAAGCATATGGATACAGCACCTTGGCGCTATCCCAGACCCTGCCCTTCTGCAAGTAGGAGTGGTTCAAAGAACCTCACATACTATGACATATGACAGATGGAGGCGAAGCAGCTTAGGACGCAACATCGACATTGCGTGGCCTGAAATGCCTGTCACGGTCGAGAACCCGGAGATCAAGACATGCACCTGCTCACCACGTAAGCGATTGGTTTCTTTCCAAGGACAGGCACGGTTTCTTGCAGTTCGCCTGTTGGTTCATCCGCTCTTCGTCATCCCTGCTACCTTGCCCTACCCTACCCTGTGTGTCCGTGAGTGTCTTGGGAAGTATGGTTGTAGACCTTGTAGAAGCTTATTCGTCGTCTCCGGCAGAGGAGCACAGACTCGCCAAGTGAGGCAGAAGCTGCGAGCACTCCACGACGGAAGCGAGATTGTGCTCCTCTCAGGCGACAGTGATGTCAGCCTATTCTTTTCCGAGCCGCCAGTGGATTCTAGTGCTGCAATCCCAAACAAGGTCGTCAATGTGGTAGATGTCTCGAAGCCCGCTTGCATGGATACAGATGGCGGTTCATTGGCACTTATAAGGATGTGTTAGGTAGGGATTGTTAACCCCCTCCCCCTGACATGTCCCCCCCTCCCTCCCTCGTATAAAACCCCCAAATCCCGGAAGGGGTTTTAGTTTAAGGGGTCAGAGTCAGGGGTTAAGGGCAACTGAACAGTTCAGGCTTCAGGTTTCTGCTTCAGGCTTCCGACCCCAGCTTAACACCCCCCCAAATCGGTAGGGATGTTATAAGAGGCGGGTTTTCGGGCCAGGGGGATTTTAATATTAGGGCGTATTATTGTAAGGGGAAGGGATTTTTGTTGTGGATATGACCTCTGTACGGTACTTATAACCCCGAGCCAAGTCTTTTCAGCATGTGGCTTAGCCGAGTTTGTCCATACTCCCTCCGCGACTCCACGATCGGTTTTTGTGCTTTCGCTGGTTTACGTGTGAAAACCCGTGGCAAAGAAAAAGAAGTCATTTGCAGGCACACAACGCCATCTTCGCATGTCATGACGCCAGGCCATCGAAAGTTTGCCGCTACCGCAAAACCCTAAACCCTAAACCCTGAAGCTTCTCCGGGTCGACGCGCGTAGGTCCGGGTCGTTGATGCAGTTGTCCTTTGCGCACCTCGCCAGCTGCTTCCGCATGCTTCGGGATGGGGCCTCCGAGCCACCGCGTCAAAAGTTCCAGTAGCCCTAAACCCTAAACCCCAGAAAAGTAGCCCTAAACCCTAAACCCCAGAAAAGTAGCCCTAAACCCGAAACCCCAGAACCCCAGAAAGTGCTTCCACCGACGGTGTGATTGGCTCTGGACTCTGCGCGCAAAGTGGATGTGGAGCATCCTGGGGACTTAGTTAATTACTAATTAATCAATAATTAACAATTAATAATGAATAATTAATTAGTAATTAACTAATGGGGGCTCGGAGCTTGAAGCCGTCCTGTTCAGGTTCCGGCAAGCAGATTTTGACATGATGGTCTATAGGACTGTAATCGTATAATCTAGAGTGCCATAGAATATATGATAGATTCATGATAATCTAGTGACAGAGTATTCTAAGAACATAGCAAGCGAGTTGAATAATGCGAAAGTGTGACAATACAGCTAGCGTCATCGCCTTGTTACTTCCGCCATGGCCAAGGAAAAGTGCCCTCAACACAACGGATGCTCGCTGGAACAACAGCCATCCAATAAAGGCTGAGTGCCTCGAATGTCTCGAACACATGGTGAGTATGCCTTGACCATGCATTCCAACAGCATCAATGACCTTGTGACTTTGTAGGATTTGAGGGCTTCTTCGCCCTGAGGTATGCCGCGCTCATGCGGGAGAGTGAGTTTGCACTGGCACCTGCTGGTCACAGCCCATGCTCTTTGCGACTGTACGAGTGCGTGGCTCAGATTGGGAAGACTTCCCCGTGTTTGCGCTGTATAGTGTCCATATCATCCGGCAACCCTAAACCCTACACCCTAAACCTATCCGAGGATTATGTCTTTCTGTGCTATTCCAGTGGTCCTTTCCGATGAGAAGCTTCTGCCATTCTCTGAGATTCTAAACTGGTCCGAGCCGGGGGGCCCAGGAGTCCAAAGAGAGGGGCCTGCCTGCCTGCCATCACATAATCGTATCACGATATCAGAAGACGATAGTAATGCAATCATCTAATAGAATAACATTAAAACAAGTATATTATGGTAAAAGCAGAACAGCTAGGAAGACGCACAGCTCAGGATGGCTGTCATCGTGCCGGAAAATGCGACTCGGAACACCTTGCTAGTCCCTGTAAATGTCTGGCGTGCGCGAAATTCAAGGTTTGTTTCTGAGGTGGCAGCTGACTTACCGAGGCTGTGGCAACCATACCTGGAGTCCTTCGCGCGCTGGGCCCACAACAGAGATGCAGGATGCGACGACGAGCCTTTGAGGCATCTTGGCCCTGCCATTTAGGGTTCAGGGTTTAGGGTTTAGGGCCGACCTTTGTGTTGGTGCCTTAGCGTTGTCAATAAGAGTCAGAGAAAACTAAACCTTCGCATCCGTGTGGCAGACTCGTCGTTGGGGCACCTTGGCCTGGTTACAAAGAGGGCCACTACAGTATGTGCTGGAATGCATGCTTTCGGGACAACTTCTTTAGACCAGATCACCATAGATCGCCCCATTCCAATTCATGGTCAGCATCTTTCTAATGCCTTAGTTATGTTGTTTTCTCATTTTTCTACTATGCGTATATTATAGATGTATATATATACACATATGTATAGAGATATGTGATATCAGTGATATCTGTATTATGCACAGGAATAAGCAGAGTTGACCTCAAAGTTAAAGCAATCCTTCGTGGACTCGAGCCTTAGGGCTCCCCCCCCCCCCCACTTGAGCAGAGGCATTCCACGCCTACTTTGCCAATGCCGCCACCTGAGATTCGGGACGAACAAAATCTCATATGAGTAGTATTGTTTGCTACTAGTACGTCCTACAATTATAGTACAAAACTACACATACAATCCAATAATAGAAGACTGAGGAAGAATACTTAAGGTAAGAGTCATATAATAAGGTAATGCCACATTGCACTGGTGACGCCGCTGCTAAGGGCTGCAACCGAGGTCTCATCAAACGTGCGCGGCTTGCTGGAAGTGTTAGAGCTCCATGCTAACGGAGGCCCAGTGATTTGCCACTGTTCTTCTTTATTTAGTATCATGTCATTGTATTGTTATGTTCTTTCCGTCCTGATTATGTTTATATTCTGGCAAGAATTACAGACATGTGGGGGCGATGTTTGGGGCGGGCCATGCTCTAAAACCCTTAAAGACAGACGCAGGTTTCCGTGCCAACGAGGACTCCCAGAAGTTAGCTTCGGACTTCCGAGAGCAGTCTTCAACGCTGGCCTGGTCTCCATATGCCATGGAGGATTGGGCGAGTGGACCATAGATCGGTCTCCATTTCGTTGTTTTTTTCGACAGAATTTGGGAATTTGGAACCTTACACATATTATGTGCCTTGAAAGTATGCTTTAGGGGGTTAGGGACAGGGACCCTGAATTCCCGATTTGCCGACTTAAGAACTAGAAATTTTGGTAAGCTACATCCCCCAAAACCCGAAACCCCTAAACCCTACACCCTCCTCAAGGACTTCCGAAGGCAGCGACTTGCCTTGCAGTGGCTGCCAGCCTCCCCACCAAGTCTACCAGCGACCCGGCATGCACTTTTTTGGGGGTTCAGGGTCTAGGGCTAGGGTTTGGAGTCTTGGGAGGGCTAGGGATTGGGAAGTTTGATTTCTGTGGCCGCCACAGACGTCACCGTGCAATGTGCGATCTGAGAATGGCGATTGCTTCATCTCTTGGGATGCTGCTTGATGGCACCCCAGCAGCTGCCACGATTGACGGAGGATCAAGGAAGACTTCGTTCGTCACAACCGCAAACCCGAAGTTTGAAAGAACACCTCAACCCAAAGTAAGCATCAGTTGCATCCAAACGCCAAGTCAAACCGCCAAAATGGCTTCTGTGGACCTCGGTCGGCTTGTCATTTCCCCGCACTCCCCCTCCCGGGCTCTGTTCCGAGGCGGTGCTGGCGTATTCTGCGTCTGCTCACTCAGAAAGCCGCTCGGCTGCATCTTGCCCCAAACCCTACACCCTAGAATCTAAACCCTAAACCCTCAACCCGAAACTCCTAAACCATTTGCTGGTCAAACTCAGACTCGCGCTGTTGGCAGGCCTCGCTGCTTTGTTGACCTGGGCTTTAGCTTCTCTGGGCATGGTCGACCCCGCGTCCATCGAGAGTCTTTCAGTCCAGCTGAGACGTCTGGCACTCCAGGCAGGGACGGTCTTGAAAGATACAGCCGTGTTGTCTACTATATCCCCCTTGGAAATTATTTTTATTAAGGTTCTAAGGGGGAGGGAGTATAGTCTATCCACTGAAGTGACAATGTGTCATGGAGTCATGACCTGTATCGCAGCAGGCCACTTCCGGCACTTCCATGCCAAACGTGACCAGCGTTTTCGAGCAGATGGATGCGCCTTGACCCGGGAGATGCTCTCCCTACATCATATCAGTTAGCATTCTGCCACTGGTGTTACTATATGAACTGGTTATGGTAGCATGATAACGTTGTACTGTCATAATTACCATGGTAGTATGATATTTTCATATTGTGCTAGCTATTTTTGTATGAGTCAATACTCATATGCTTTCGTAACTAGATTTTTAGATTATTCAACGAAACCTCAGAGTGTCGGGTTCTGGAGGCCAACACTGGCAGCCTTGGCATCTCCCCGGCCTTCCGATCATCGTCAGCCGTTCAGCCCAGCAACAAAGGGTTTAGGGTTTAGGGTTTGGGGTTTAGGGTTTAGGGGGTGCTTTGTAGGGAATGAGGGAGTAAGGCACTTTACATACCCCTATAGATACCCATTAAGAGACGATATATCGGGTACCTCATTCCTTCATTCTTTACTAAGAAACCACTCAGCTGTGCGGCTCTATGTGCACTTGGAGGTTCATTGGTACTTGCAAGCGGCTATAGTTCGAATAGGCTGGAACCTCATTCAGGGTGCTTCTAGAGAAGTGCCCATGAACCTCCAAGTAGCAAACGACCCAGATCCTGATTGTGCTTAGGCTTCCCTTGAAGACTTGGTCCGGGCAGCGCCGCGACCGCAAGCATCGGTCTTGCCTAGTACCATATGCAGCATGCCGTACCGCCAGCCATTGCAGAGCGACAGCAGGCCGTTGCGAGCAGGGACAGTGACAGAGATGGCAAGATCAGTGCTGAAGAGTTTGCGTCTGAGGCGTGGATAAACTGTTGCAGTCACCTCGACACAGCAGTGTGTGGATGCCTGCGGCCATGTGAGAATGAGACCCGCAGGCTGTGGAGGAAATGAGCGCTCCGTTGCAGTTTTCAAAGCTGGCACCCCAGTCGACCCTAGTGCTGTCTGTCGTGGACCTTAGTGTAAGTCGCACTGGCAGGCTGGATCGAAACAATGACAGCACCGTTGCCGCAGACCTGGCATTCCCAAATGTATGACAAACGGTTCAACACAGCTTCCTGCAGCATTCCTGCTGATTGATTGGTTGCTCCAGATGAACTAGTCGTAGGAACCAATTGAGACGCTAGCATCGCTAGCTGTTGAAGAATGACGGACTAAGGAATCTGTCTCAGAGAGAATATGCAGGGCCATCGAATAGCAACACCCACGAGCATGCTGTCATGCATCGCACGAACCAATGCAAGGAGGAGCAACATGCACCGTTTGCCAGTCGAATCCCCAAAACTGCAATCGGGGGCGGGGGGAAGGGGGCGGCGGGCTTGTTGATGCTGTGATGCCTACTTGGAGGTTCAAGGATACATAGAATCAGGGATAACTGTACCCTAAATACGGTTATTATAAGACTCTACTTGTAAGTACCTTAAACTTACAATTGTAATCACACTGCTTATAAACCCCTACTTATCAGTGCCCATGAGCCTCCCAGCAGCCGTCAGGCTTTGCGGGAGTTGCTTGCTGAGCCGTTGTTTGTCGACGACCACACGGACTCCCTGAGACGAGGACAGTTCGCGCAGAAGACTGCCATGTGGAAATGCTCAAGAATCTACTATAGGGGTCGGAATCGTTACTAATAGTTTCCCCTTCTGGTCCCTTCATGGTTCTAGTAACCCCCCCAAAACCCTATTCTAATTCTTCAGGCCCCTATATAACCCTATATTGCACTCTTCAGCGCCTCGGTCGCTTCCTGCTGTGTTTGCTCACGGGCCGCCAGGGTTTCAGTTCGCAGACGCCGACAAGGATGGTCACTTGAGCTGCTCTGCCACAATCATGTCCTCCCTGCCCTGGTCACCCTCAACATCCCTCAACCCAAACCCGAAGCCCTAAACCCTAAAACCTAAACCCCAACCCCCAACCCCTAACCCCTAAACCCTGAACCCTGAACCCTGAACCTGAACAAACGTGGAGTCTTAGTTTCTCGTTGTGGATTCCCAGGCGGCGCCGAGTTGGAGAGGCCTGGTGCATAGCCCTAAACCCTAAACCCTAAGCCCTAAGCCCTAAACCCTAAACCCTAAACCCTAAACCCTAAACCCCACCCTAAACCCTAAAACCCTAAACCCTAATCCCATTCATGCTGAGCCCCGAAGATGCCGAAGGTGGGAAGCACGGCCATTTCTGCACCTCCTGGCGGAATACCCTACAGCCAGAAGAGGAAGGGTGTCTGACGTTCGAGAGGTGGTCGGGGTCAACATTGCGCACTTGGGCTTCGACATGTTGTCTGCGCACCCCAAACCTCTGCACCCGCACCGCTCCACAAATGTGGGATCCCTGTACTGGCATACCAGGTTACCAGGACGGCCGATTATACCCTATAACCCCTTAAAGTTTGGCCCTTTATCGTGCTGATTATGGGGATTATGAGGCCTATTATACCCTATAACCCCTTAAAGAGGCCCTTTATAGTGCTGACTATGGGGATTATGACGCCTAGAATAACCCATCCTGGTAGGCTCAGCGTCCCTGCGCCGGCGTGAGATCACCACAAGCACCCGTCGCGCAGTTGGCGAATGAGCTCCGCGATTGCGGAGTCTTGTTTTGCACAAGTTGTACTTCCTTTTTGGTGGGGCACCTTAGTTTCAAGATACGCCCCAAAAGAGCGGAGCTGCTCTCCTAGGAAGGGTCTGAAGAAATCGTGCCCTGGTTGATGTCTGGAGGAACTTGAAGTGGCTTGGTGCTTGCAAGGCTTCGTCCACGTGCGTCCAGGCTGGTTTGGTCAGGACTACGCTGCCCGGCTATAGATCCAGATGAAGCCCGCGTATTTGCAGAAAAACAACAACAGATGGGGCTTTTTCCCAGGTATCAAGACTCTGGGAAGCCGCACGAGATCTGCCATGCCAAGTCTCACAGATGCATTCATAATGTAAGATGTCGAGATGCTTCGCAGTTGAAGTCGCTGAATGGCCCTCGGATGGTCGCGTATGGCGTGCAGTCGTTCAACGCAAGGACCACTTGGCGCCACACTTCGGGCCGTTTGAGAAGTGCCTTGGCTGCTAAGACTTACCAGGATGGGCCATTAGGACCTAGAATCCCCACAATCAACCCTTAAAAGGGGCCTTTTCATTTTTTTCAGGGGTTCGAGGGTAGAGTAGCCCATGCTGGTGGCCCTTAGCCAGTAGCGTTTGCGTTTGTCTCCTGGGCATTCTCAAAGCCAAGCGGCCCTCATGAGGTCTGCGCCTTTCACATCGCCACAGATGCAGCTCTGGGATCTGCTGAAGGCCTGCCGTGACAAGTAAAAACCACTGGACCTTCGAACACCACACCAGCTCGTCACTGAGGCGACTGTGGCTCCCAAGCCATGCTGGCAACTTAGTTCTCAAAGAGAGCTGACTTGCACCATGGGAACTGCATAGGGCGTCCTTTTTAGGGTTTAGGGTTAAGGTTTAGGGTTTGGCTCCTGGAGAGGCTGTGACCTCCTTTCCCTAGCCATCCGTTGCTTCACCTGCACTGAGCTGAACGCAACGGAGGAAAAGGCGCATACTCACGCATCGTACGTCCATGCAAATGGAAGAATCTTTTTTGTTCAGTGGTGGCACAGAGGAGCCTCTATGGCGTGGGCCGAACATCATCGCGCAGAACCGTTACACGGCGCCCGGCATTCTTTGAAGTGAGTTTGGCTTTTTGCATGACCAGCGACCTCGGCACCGTTTGTTGCCAAAGGTGCTTGTGGCAATGCAAACTGTGACATCAAGATGCATTTGGTGGTGGCGCATTGCAATTTGCAAGCCCAGCTAAGTGCCCGCCTCGTATACTCTCGGCAAAACTTGGTCACAGACATTCGCGAACCAAGGACATCGCCAGTGCTTGGCTTGATCCCAGAAACTCGGTAGCTGAGTGGTGCCCCTCTGCCCTTTTTGGGTTCGGGGTTTTTTATATGAGTTTTCAGCCCTGAAAAGGCATAAAGGGAGACCCTACATAAATCCTAAACCCTCATTCAATGGTTACTGGGCTACCAAGGAAATGAAGCACGACAGGTTCGTGGCGGATGAGCGCAACAGTTTCTGCGGCCCCTTGTCAAAGTTCTCCGACACATTGCGCGCGGAGAATAACACAAACGCACCTTCGTTTCCGCGCCAAATTCAGATCTAAGTAGCTTTCCGTGCCTACACTCCCAAGAACATGTCGGATAGTTCTCTAAATTAGTGTCCCTTTTTGGGGTCCCTTTTTGGGGTCCATATGTTAAAGGTGCCGTATATGGGGGGCCCAAAAAGGGACCCTAGTTTTTTTAAGAACTACCCATGTGCAACCCAGGTGGTGGTGTGAGCAGCACAGGGAGGCACCCTCCGATGCGCACTCGAGATGGATACACTGCCAGCCGCCCCGTTGCATGGGCATAGGGTTTAGGGTTTATAAGGGTTTGGCGTTAGGGGTTAGGGTTTAGTCCAACCAACAGGGCAGCATCAAATGCCAGGAGGCCAGTCTTGAGGGCAGTTTTTGGGGCTTTTGTGTCTTGCTTTCGATTTGTTATTGTTTTTGTTTTTCGAATCCCGGTCCAAACCCTTCCTCCTTTCAATATCGTTTCGTGCACTTGTGGGTGACCATTACATGCACTTGGCTCACGAAGATTTTAAACTAGAGACTTGGGATATTCCCCCTGATACTAGCAGTCCTTAACAGGGCATATAGCACCCCCTATTAGAATCCCTACTAAGGACTCTTCGTATAAGGGGGAACATCCCAATCCCAAGGGCCTAAACCCTAAACCCTAAACTCAAGGATTGAATGGGCTTAGGGTTTAGGGCTTAGGGTGGGGCGACCTTGAGTCGAGCAGTTGAACTTGTGCGCATTGAAGGGGGGGTGCGTGCTGTTGACGGCTTTTGCTGTCTAGTACTGGGAGTTTCATGGGGTAAGATAATGACCAGTTATAATTCTGGATACCCTACTTATAACCCTACTTCTAAGTATGGATGAACCTCCAAGTATCTCCGCACAGTGTACCCATGGAGCATCGAAACCCTAAAATACCCAACATCCTACGAATCTCTTTGTTCGTGAACACACCAGCTATGTTTGGCAAGCGGCCGAGGCTTTATGGCCGCGGGAACCGTTCTCATCTACGATGCAAATTTGGTCCAACGCGCGGCTCACAGTTGCTGGCGAAATCATTGGGGTCCAAGCATTGGAGATGGTATTATAGAAATATTGCACGTTCAGCTGCTGTGACGTTGGGAAGGCACACTCAAACCCCTTAGGCTCAAAATAGCCCAAACACCTTATATGAGAAGCAAACACCTTGTATGAGAAGGCCTTAAAGGGCCCCAAAAACCACAAAACAAGAGGCCCTAGATCCTGAGTGTAATCTTCCAACTGACATGAAGGGACACTGATGACACTTCTGGGATCCTCTAAATGTATGTCCAGTGAATGCACCAAGTCGGGAACGTCTTCAAAGGCCCCTTCTGCATCAACGACAAGTGGTTTCTCCGCTATGACCTGGTGGCTGGCACGAAGCCTGATCGGTTGAGTGGAAGCTTGTCTGCATTTCGGTTTGCGTTACCCTGTCCTGCAGCTGCTGTGCATGCACACCCCATCTGCTGCGCATGTGACAGATGATCGCACCAGGCTTGCGCTCGCGAGCTGGCGTGGATCTCGAAAGTGGACTGGAGCTTGAACGTCAAACAGCCTTTCAGCAGGCTCGCGCAGTCCAGCAACGGGCCCTTGTGCTTGAGAATTGAGCCGGCTAGAGGTCAGCGACGTGACTGGGTGTGAAGATGCTGTGCGGGCTACTGCCAGGTCATGTTGACAGCCGGCTTGCAGGACCACAGTGAGCTTTAGGACGTGGTTTCTGGGCACAAAGATTGCTCGGAAGTGACAACGAACATCAGGTGCGGCGGTAGTCGACAATGGTGACTGGCATGAGGCCGTACCTGCACATCTTCATGCTGTGGGATGTATCACGCAGTTTCTGGCTCAAGCAAATGCCAGCACGGCCCATGTCCCATCAGAAGTCCCATGCAGAGTAGCGGAGTAGCATTCATGCAGCATGAAAGCAACCATCACCATCTGTAAGGAGTGCAGAAGAAGTTGCAAAAAACACTCACTGCTTCAGCTGTGCCCCACGTCGGGGTCACTAGCACAAGTCATGGCATGGCCTCTGCTTCGTGGCGAGCATGATGCCGGCGGCGAGGCAACTTTTTTGTCTGAGAAGGGGCGTGCCACGCGCACAAGTGTGCTGTCTGTCGACGAAGCAAGGGCTGGTGTGGCGGCACTGGGCACCGCTTGCGCCCGATGTCGCGTCACTCCAACGACCAAAGGCCGAGGGCAGAAAGTCACTCAAAGATGGCAGTTGCGCAGAATCACAATGGCGCGCATGCTCGAACATTTAAGGTGATTTCTGCCCATCGCTTCCACTTGCAGCAGCATGTTTGGCGGGACCTTGAACATGCATGCAAGCCGAACATGTTGCTTCCAGTGACATCCGCAGAACTCATGCGGAGCGCTGCTGCATCTGATTTGCAATCCAGAAGCGCGCTTGTGATTGCAGGTCCAGCGAATGGCAGAGCGACATGCGGTGACCTGACATGTCTTTGGACCTCAGGTTCGTGTCTCCTTCTGCTATACTGCATGGAACACTATACTGTGTCATCTCCTCTTTCTCATCTAATATACTACGTTACTACATACCATAGCTGTCCCATATATAGGAAAGCATTATGCTGAGTAATCGCGCCCTTTCCGCAGCCAGGTCCAGGGCCTGCTGCTTCGGGGCAATGTCTTTGCCGAAACGACTCCCGCAGTGCGAGACATCGGCGGCGCGTCGATTTGCATCCAACTCGAGGCCTTGTCATGATTGATGTGATTGATGGTTGCTCAGCACGACCACGCCGAAACACCCCAACGAAAGAACGCATGCTTGAAAGGAGGTCTGTACATATATATATATATATGTGTGCAAACCCCCAGCCCCTACCCTCCCCCCCCCCCCCCCCCCCCCCCCCCCCCCCCCCCCCCCCCCCCCCCGTTTGAGGTAGAAATGGCAGAAGCGAATGGACCTGATGAGTGCCATGTGTGGCTTGAGGCAGACATACTATAGCAGAAGAGTCAACAAGTTAATGAATATCTTTCATAGAGCAAGACTAGTTCGTCTCCTCCCAAGTCAAAACGCTTCATGCCTTAATCAATTTCGTTCACACAATTGGAGTTCAAGTATGGTTTAGAAACTAAGTGCGACTTCTACCAACTGATACTGTTAGCCGGCAGACTGGGAAAATGCAAAGCTGTCCATAGAATGTCGAAAAGGCTTTGCTCCTCCAAGTTCTGTTCATATGACTGCATTTTACGTGACAAGCCACTTGCTATCATTGACTCAATGTATATAGATATATAACCCTTCAATACAACAGAACATGGCATTCCAACTTCACTTTTTGTATGCCTATGCTCTATAAGCAACATTTCTGAAGGTTGAGGCTCGAAGAAGCTTGGTAAAACCAGCTTTTTTCGAAGGTCGAGGCTCCAAAATGTTGGTAAACCTAACCTTTTTCTGAAGGGTCGGGGCTCGAAAAAGTAAAAGCCAGCTTTTGTCGAACGTCGAGGCTCGAAGAAGTTGGTGTTCCCGACAAAAACCCCAAAAAAGGGCACGATTGTCGAACGATGAGCTTCTGAGGGTCCAGGCCCCAAAATGGTAGAACCACTTGCTTCTGAAGGTCGAGGCTCCAAAAAGTTTGTTTTTCCAAGAAAACCCACCGAAAATAAACACTATTTCGAAACCACATGCTTCTAGGCCCCAAAATGTTGGTAATCCCAACTTTTTTGAATGTCGGAGCCAAAGCACTTGGTTTGCAAATCGTGTTCTTTTTTGCGTTTTGGTTGCTAAAATCAACTCTTTCTGAAGATCGAGGCTCGAAAATGTTGCTAGAGCCAATTCTTCCTGAAGGTCGAGGCTCGGATATCTTTGTCAAACCAACTTTTTCCGAAGGTCGAGGCTTGTTGGTAAACCTGCTTTTGCTGAAGGTCGGCGCCGAAAGCATCTTGTTTGAAACGCATGCGCTTTTCTGGTTTTCGTACACGAACTTTTTTGAAGGCCGAGCCTGGAAATTGTTGGTTTGACCAACATTTTTTTAGGTCCTGACCCCTCAACCCTGAAAACCCTGTGGCCCTGGATGCAGAATCGTGCTGCTGAGGTCGCTGCCTGACAGAAAAAAGAGAAAAAGGGTGGATCCAGGGGTGGGCACCAGAGAGGCCATAGATATTTACATTCCATTCACACATATATATATATATACATATATATATGTATATACTTTCTCAGTATATGTATATGTATGTATGTACGTATGTAGGTTTGACGTGCGTTCTCAGGAGCAGGCAGAGCATGGCTCCGCCGCCCACCTTGTGGAACTCTTGGATGGCGGCTACTTAGTGGCCCTGCGCCCAGCAGGCGCGAGGGCAGCCAGATGTGCCAGCTTCAGAGTACTACTCTTGATAGAGAGAGAGAGAGAGAGAGAGAGAGTGTGTGTGTGTTTATGTGCACATGCAAAAACATGAATGTATATACATATTTTATATATATAGTAATAATAATATATGTATATATGTATGTATATATGTATGTATGTATATCTGCATATGTATATATGTATATATGTATGTATGTTGCCTTCCCTTGGCAGGGAGAGGTCTAGGCTTCTTGCCGGCAGTAGCCGGCGTGTCCGCATCCCAGAAGTCAGAATTCCCAGCTCAGCTTGGAGCAGAAGAGGGTTTTTGAAAAGCCCTCTTCCGTATTTAGGAACCCTCTTCTGCTAGGTTTTTAAAAAAAAGCCTCTTCTGCTAGGTCTCAACAAAACCCTCTGCGTTTTAGAAAAAGCCCTCGCGTGCCGCCAGGGTGCGCAAGCTAAGGCCTGGTCGACAAGGCCTTGACCGTGCAGGTCGTTCTCGTGTTGGGCTGGCAGAATGCTTGGTGATGGCAAGGTCTAGGCCTTATTCCGTAGAGCAACGCTTAGTATTATTATTAGAATTAATATGATAATAATAATTATTATTGTTATTATGCCTTTGTCGCCACAATCGCCCAGTTGGGGCGAGTTAGGGCGACGAGTGATGGGAGAAGCTTGCCGCTTTCAGGCCCGTTCTGCTTGACGACGAGGTCGAAGGACACCGGAAGAGATGCCGTTCCTGGCAGCGCTGTGGTTGGCAGAGTAGAGGGTGTAGAGCTCGTGGAATCGGTAGGTCAGCAACAAATAACTTGAAACCAAGTGCACGACATACAAAGCAGACTTTCTGAAAGAAGAATCTGAATACTGCATCAACCCGGTAGGCCCGGCAGGCACATTTCTGCCCAAATCTGACAGGCCGTGTCACGTTTCTGCATGATGCAGCTCTGCGAGGCACGATGCATGAGTCACACGATAAAGTTCAATATGGAGTGCAGCACCCTAAGCCCTAGGAAGCTTTATTGGCGGCTTGACAGTTCCAAAACCCCCCAAGCGCCAGGCTGGCTCTCTGAAACCAAGATCGTCGATGCCGACGCCTGATTTAGAAGCGGCAACGCGCATGGTCCCTGTCGCAGCTTGTGTGCTCTACTTCTTTGTCGCACGCAGCTTCGCACCCACAGTTCCTTCATGGACCCTAAACCCTAAACCCGTAACCCCGCAACGAATGCCAACAGACAATGAACCAAAGGGCCTGAGAACCCCCCCTAAGCCTTTAACCCCTTATTTAACGGTGGAACAACAGAAAACAAAGCAAGTGCAATCATCATATAGTAGTAGAACTTCCAGCGCACTCTTCCTTGCTGAGGTCGTGGTACTGGCACGGGTCACCGATTTCTTTCTAGGCTTGGGCTGCGGGGACCAGAGCAAGACCGTTGCTTCGGGGTTTAGGGTTTAGGTTTGGGATGTTCCCCCTTATACTGACAGTCCTTACTAGGGACGCTGAACGGGGGTACGATACATCCCTATTAAGGACTGTTAGTCTAAGGAGGAGCATCTGAAGCTCCAAAGTGTGGTGTTGAGCTGTGGCTGAGTGTTGTGCAGGCCTCAATGCTGGAACTTGGCTGCGTGTGCGCATCAGTGTCCTGGCAAATCCTGGCAACTTCTTGTGGGGGATTCTCTTTGACTCTAAATCATGGGCCCGTTTTGGGTTCCCTACTTATATAGTATTTGTTTTAAGGGATTAGGGTTTTGGGTGCCCTGATCACGTAAACAAGCTCCGTGGATCACCCGAAGCGACCCTAACTTGAAGAACCTTCTTACTGCCGCATCGCCTGAGTTTCTGAGGCGACATCGCGGCCGCTTCTGCCAGGTAACCGGGCCCGGCATTGCGTAGGGTTGGGGTTAAGGTTTAGGGTTTAGGGTTTAGGGTTTAGGGTTTAGGGTTTAGGGTTTAGGGTTTAGGGTTTAGGGTTTAGGGTTTAGGGTTTAGGGTTTAGGGTTTAGGGTTTGGGATTTTTGGTGACATCTGAGCGAGCTTCATCCTTCGATCCGAAAGGCCTTTAAGAGTAAACGAGGGTGCTTGTAGTAGTTGCGTGCAAACATGCTAACCATATATGAAGCAGGGTATATATTTCTGTTTTTGGTGAGTGTATATCAGGTTCCTTTTTAACATTGGTGAGTGAGTGTATATATGGGTGTCCTTTTGGGGGTAAAAGAAATATATATACCCTACTATAAAGATGGCCAGTGTGATGATGCGCCCAAAGGGAGCATGTAAACAGCCCCTGAGAAGCGCCTCAAACCTCACGCCTCCGGTGACATAGGCATCTCATGCATAGGCGGGAGAGGGGAGGGGGTGGCCGGGAGGGGGGGGGGATGCCGGGGGGGTGGGACTGAGTATGCTTGAAGAATGTGGTGTCTCCAGCAGCAAATCATAGTAGACATCGCCAGAGGGACTGCGCCTTGGTGCTGAAGGAATTGATGCCCTGCGCGTCCCGACAGACGGGGCTGCCCTCGTTGACACCTTGTCGTGTAGGAACTCGCAAGCACGGCTTACGGCGCCACATGCAACATGGAGACAAGACTCTGAGTAGTACCCGCAATAACGTTTCAAAACTCCGTGCAAGGGGACAATCGCCGGCACGTTGCGCGCTTGATGGCAGAATATGTCTTGCCGCTCGCGGTCTCGTGTAGCCTTGCCCAGGTGGCTTGCTGACGTGTGTGCTGCCAGCAGTGAAGGCAAACCACATGTTCGCATGGTCTGTAGCCTATAGCTGCTGTCCTTGCGGTTCTTGAAGATAGTTTGACTACAGTACCCAAACAAACAAGAAGGCTCGGCCTGAGGCAGAATCTCATGCCGACTGCACTGCGCCCTAAACCCTAAACCCTAAACCCTAAACCCCAAACCCTAAACCCTAAACCCTAAACCCTAAACCCTAAACCCAGCCTTGCGAGACTCTTGAGACTCTTGTCCTGCCGCGGCCATCTAGCGGGCTTTGGAAACGGGCGCCACTGGCAGGGCCGCACATGTCCAAGGCCATGCTGGCTTGAGCTTTAGGGTTTAGGGTTTAGGGTTTAGGGTTTAGGGGACAGACTACAGCATCATATCATGAGGGCCCGAGGCTGTTTACTTGCTTGCTTGGTTGCTAACTTGCTTTCGAAGACGCCAAGTGTCCGGGGCTCGGCACCAAATCCTGTGAAGGTTGCCACTGCGCCACCCGGAGAGAGATGGCAGGCTCTGCGGGTTTAGGGGTTTCAGGGCTTCAGGGTTTAGGATTTTAGGGTTTGAGGGTTTAATTAGGGTCAAGCATCTGGTCTCGTTAGGGTTTAGGGTTTAGGGTTTCAACAGACTTGGGACTCGTGAGGGAGCAGCATAGATCTCAGAGATTGGCTTTCAAAGTGCAGAGACGGGCCGAACGCGAAGCAAGGAGGAACGAGGTCCCGAAAACGGACGAGATACCTTGAGCCCACATTCCAACATGGACAGTAGTCGCCTAATCGCATGCTTTTGTCTCATGAATATCATGGGAGTTGTCTCATCTCGCCCTCCGTTTCCTGGCAGTCAGCAAGTCCGGGTTCAAAAAAGGGTTTAGGGTTTAGGGTTTAGGGTTTGGGGCGATTCTTGGAGTCAAGCGCCCCCAACGTCTCACAGGAGGCGAGGCACGCACCAGAGCCATCGCCGGACGCAACCAGCTCAGTGGATGCCACCGCCTCATCGGGGTTTAGGGTTCAGGGTTCAGGGTTTAGGGTTCGGGTTTAGGGTTTATAGGGTTTACAGGGTTTTAATGTTGGACCTGCTTTAATAATGTAACCCCCCCCCCCCCCCCCTCAACAGTCGCGAGCCTGAATAAAAAAGACCCCAAACAGTCGGGGGGGGGGGGGGTCCGGAGCCTCCCTAAGCTACCCCGCGACCCTGGAAAGGTCGAGGCTTCAGGCTTCAAGTATCCCTTCTTCTCGAGAAAGCTTATGCCTTCCTGAAAACCGAAGGACTGAGCCCCGGGCCCCGGGAGACTTGCATTATAGCGGGCCCCCAAACAAAGGTATTAAAGTGTGTCCGGAGGCCTCCGTAAGGTACCCCCTTTCCGGATATGATTCGCCTATGGAATCATCTAGTTTTAAGTAAGGAATTTATAAAGAAAAGGCGCCCTGAAAAAAGAAGATTGTCGGAGATCCTGGACAGGTCGAGGAGGGCTTCAAGTATCCCTCCTTCTCGAGAAAGCTTATGCCTTCCTGAAAACCGAAGGACTGAGCCCCTGGCCCCGGGAGACTTGCATTATAGCGGGCCCCCAAACAAAGGTATTAAAGTGTGTCCGGAGGCCTCCGTAAGGTACCCCCTTTCCGGATATGATTCGCCTATGGAATCATCTAGTTTTAAGTAAGGAATTTATAAAGAAAAGGCGCCCTGAAAAAAGAAGATTGTCGGAGATCCTGGACAGGTCGAGGCTTCAGGCTTCAAGTATCTCTCTTTCTCGAGAAGCTTATGCCTTCCTGACACCCTCAAAAAAACAGGCCCGGCCCGAAATCTTTTCATTATAGCGGACCCCCAAAACAAAGGGTCCAGATCCTGAATAGCCGGAAAACTTTTCATAATAGCGTCCCCCTAGAATATTGCGGGTGCAACATTAGGGTTTAAAGGGTTTATAGGGTTTAAAGGACTTATAGGGTTTATAGGGTTTATAGGGTTTAGGGTCGGCAGAGTGTGGTGCACGCACGAGTCGCCATAATGACCGCACGCTTGCAACGGGGGCTTTGGTCAGGTCGCGCAGCTGATCATCATTCTGACGAAAAGCTTTGCGGTTGTTCTATTTGTCTATGCTACTGGGCAGCACTCCCTAAACCCTAAACCCTATACCCCAAACCCTAAACCCTAAACCCTAAACCCTAAACTGCGAGTCAAACATCTGGCCTCAAGAGCACGGATGCCGAGAGTGAGGGAATTGCTCAGGGAGGCTATGCCTACAACGCCGTTTTTCTTTCCAGGACACGGGCCAGAGAACCCTAAACCCTAAACCTTAAACCCTAAACCCTGACTGCTTGCAGATCGCGTGCACCAAGCCCTCCTTGTCTTTGGACGATTTTTTTTTGCCCCGGAGGATACTCCAAGCAGCTGGTAAGGAGAATTTCGTCCTCCCTTTTGCAGTGATGCCGGGAGGCCAAGATGTCCCCTTAGTCAAAAGGTTCTTAAGGGAGAGGGGTTAGGGTTTAGGGTTTAGGGTTTAGGGTTTAGGGTTTAGGGTTTAGGGTTTAGGGTTTAGGGTTTAGGGTTTAGGGTTTAGGGTTAGGGGGGTACGGAACCTCGAAGGTTCCCTACTACTCCCCACTACTCCCTAAGGCTCTAAGAGCTTCCCCCAAGTGCCTCAGATACCCAGCCCTCACGAACCCCCCAAACCCCAAACCCTATACCCCAAAGCCTAAACCCCAAACCCCAAACCCCGAACCCCAAACCCTACACCCCCCCTCCCTCTAAGAACCCTGTAACTTAAGCGCCTCAAACGCAGAGCAGAGCAGAACAAAGCTCAGGTTTAACTTCTTCTACATCTTGGGGCTTTTCAGCTATGTTGCTGCGACCCTGGCGGACCCTGGCTCGGTCCCAGTGGCTTGGGCCGCACCAGCCGTTCAGGGTTTAGGGTTTAGGGTTTAGGGTAGGGTGCAGGGTTTAGGGTTTAGGGTTTGGGGTTTGGGGTTTGGGGTTTTAGGGTTTAGGGTTTAGGGCTTTGCGTCGTCGGGGGGGCCTCTCTTCGAGCAAAGCGCAGGAAAAGACTCATCCGGCTTAGAGTTCCATTGGCGATTGCTTTCGTTGATCCCTGGCGCCCTAAACCCAAAACTCCCAAAGCCCTAAACCCTAAAAAACAAATCCCTAAACCCTAAACCCCCTAACCCCAGAAAGCCCCTAAACCCCTAAGCCCTAAACCCGAGAATGGTGCAAGGAGCGTTGGCTCAGCTTCGTCGAGCGAGTTGAGAAGCAGCTTCCCGTGGCCAACCCAAGAGCCGAGTGGCAGCCAAGCAAGGCCCGGGTTTAGGGTTTAGGGTTTAGGGTTTAGGGTTTAGGGTTTAGGGTTCAACACACGGCTTTCTCCCCAAGCCCGGATGCAAAAACACACACACACACACACACACACACGGCTTTTGCCAGCTGTGCTTTTGTGTGCTATAACTACTTGGAAGTGCTATAATGGTATACTACTATACAGGCAGGCCAGATTATTAGTAAGATGTTAGTAAGACAATATACAAGGACTATAACAATGTACTGATAGACGAATATGAATAGTATTCGCGCAATCCAACAATATAGCAATAGCATAATATAAACATATAATCATATCATGATCTGATAGTACATTTTGTCTTGTCCTCCGACAGGCGACGAGATGCAAAAAGTGCAACATCATTCGGCCTGAGCGGGCTCACCACTGTCACTTTTGCAGAAGATGTATCCTGCAACTGGGCATAACTGGGGCATCGGGTGCATGTCTGACCCAGTGTTGGGAGGATTTTGCGGTGCATGTCCGACACATTGTAGACCTTCCACACAAGGCGAATGGACCACCATTGCCCATGGATAAACAACTGTGCCTTGGCACCGATCATGAGACGGGTAAGTTTGAACATTGTGTTAATTTGTTTTACCCTCAATCCCCTCTGCAATCCTTATAAAGCCATAAAAATATAAATTGCACTATAAGGTGCCCTTAATCCCCTATATAATGCGCATAAAGCCAAAACAAATTTAAATTCCTCAGGAATGCTGTGATTGCCATCTTGGCCGGCTAAGGTGTTGGCATGCACAACCACAAGTATTTCACACTGCTCGGCGGCTTGACTGAGAGTTATTATTGGTGAGTGTATATAAGGTTCCTTTTTTAATACTAGTGTGTATATATATATATTGAGTGTATATAAGGTTCCTTTTTTAAGACTGGTGAGTGTATATATATTGGGTGTCCTTCTTGGGATGCAAGGAATACAAGCCCTACTTCATGTGGGTAGCTCTCTAGATTAGGGTCCCTTCTTAAAGGGGTGCTGCCTTCTCATGGGTACCCAAAAAGGACCCTAGTTTAGGAAACCCACGCGAAAGGTCCGAAAAGCAAGAAGGAAGTCCGCAAAACAATGTGTGCAGAAGTTGATACCGAGGCATTTATGCTGGACTTGCGACTCAGCCGCCTTAACCACGAGCAAGCTTGCTGGTTCTTAGTCGGGAATTAGGGAGTCAGGTGCCAACATAATCCCATAAAGGGTTTCGAAAGGGGGGCCATAGGGCACCTAATTTCCTGATTCCCGATTAAGGACCAGTCAGCAACATAGGTCTTCTGACATCTTAAGACTTCGTGCCTGTGGCGCCGGAAGGCAGCACGAAGCTCGACATGTGTCCTCTGAGGCTAGCTTCATTGCGCTGAGCACTATTTTACCCGATCTGCTGACTTGCCTGTCGTCCGACGGGAGCTGAGGATGCTTGCGCATGCAGAGTTGTGGGAGTTGATTTTTGGCGAGTCGAAACATGCGACTATGGGACTCTCCTGTGTAGGTCCTGCGCATGGACGGTGACTTGACATACGGGCCTTCTTTTACCAAGCACTCGGGCACCTTGTCAAAGCTGCAGATGTTGACAGTTCTGAGTCTGTCTTCAGGTGGGCGGGAAGCTAAACCCTAAACCCTAAACCCTAAACCCTAAACCCTAAACCCTAAACCTTTGTCCTGGCATGGGTGCACAGCGCATGTCAAGGCTATCTTCCTGCCGGCAGCAATGTGCTAGAGACTTGCCTCAATGTGGGAGTTCCCCAAAATGGGGGGTACCCTTCTTGGGGGGGTCCCTTCAAGGGGATTCTACTACCAAAATGGGTACCCCTATTTTTGGGAAATGCCCAGGTCGCGTAGATCTGACATGGTCTGACACGTTCAAGCCGCCGACCCCCGAGGAAGCAATGATGACCATCCCCGAGGCCAAAGAAAAATGTGCCGGGATGTGCGGATCCCCAAAATGGATGGACGGCTGACGTGCTGTATTTCGCCTGAGCTGAGCTTTCGAAGAGAAGCAGACTTCGATCTCTGAGGAAGACCTGCAAAGGCTTCTGCTACATAGGCGAAGATTCAGGCGAGCGTGTTGATGCACCAGTGCACGCCACATCCAGCAACATGCTGCCGTGCAGGTTTGCCTCTGAAGATCTACTTCAAGGACAAGTGGCAGTTCTGGTCCGTTGCTATGCTACCACCCATGTTTGCGAAGGCTGCTGAAGGTTGCTGCTGTCCACAACTCATGCACGGGTATATTTTGGAATGACGTGATAAGGCCGGACAAGAACAGCCACTGGACTTCGTACAGATATGAGCAGGCAAACGGTTCTTGCTTCGCTTTCTGATCACATTAGCATGTGGGGCTTCTTTTGTGACAGCGCAGATGCAGCGCAGTGTTTGACAGTAAGACTTGCATTGCAGGCGGCGAGCTTCTTGCCAGCATGGAGGGGGGGGGGGGGGGGTGAAGCTGCGGCTTCCTGTAAGAAATTCTCCCCCAGAATTGGCAGACAATCTCGAAGAACTTAAAGTCGAAATCATCTCAAGGCTGAAAGTTCAAGCCTTCACTGAGGCCTAGATGACACCTATGTTTTCCAATTCCTGCTGTTGGGATGCGTGGTCATGGCGGCGAACGCCTTGCTTGTACCTCTCAATTGCTCCCATGTGCAAGCCTGAGATACGCCCTGGTTACTGAGTGCGATGAAAGGGCAGGTCAACTATGCACTCGTCGTTAGACATTCACAGATGTCATCAGACGGAGTGACACGTGAAAATTCACTCATGGCTGCGATCCCTTGGCGTCCCGTCTCAGTTGCCAAACCTGCTGGACAATGTGACTATGATTGAATCCAACTACGACAACATGCAGGGCCCTTGGATGCTACCTGGAGGTTCAGGGTACTTAGCAACCCGTGATAAGTGTAGTTATAACCCACATACAAGCCCCTTCAGTACCCCCAAAAGGGTAAACAATTGGGTTACTAGGTACCATGAACCTCCAAGTATTCGGCTTGCTGCTCATGACCCTAAACCCTGAACCCTGAACCCTAAACCCTAAACCTGACCATATGCGATCGACCATGACAGGCCCAACCCCTTCGATCAGGGCAGCGGCATGAGCAACATGGCGCAGATCTTCGGCAGCCCAGGCGGCGACCTCGAGCTTCTCAATTGGGTTTAGGGTTTAGGGTTTAGGGTTTAGGGTTACCTCATCGCGTAGTCGTGTAGTGGGCATTACCCAAAGTCCATTTTCCAGATGCTGGTGTTGACTTCGTGTGCTTTTCAGACCTTGGCCCTTACACGGTTCGATCATTCCGCAACACGGCATGGCACCATGGCAGCCATGGCGCGAACAGCTGGAGCAAAGCCGATCATCCATTTCTCCGGCCAGATTCCCGAGCTCCGGTGGTTGGACAACCTATGCTGTGCCGGCTACCCAATCGAGATGCTAGGTAGGCCCTTGGGACAGTTTGCATCTTCCCTCATTCTGTTTAAGAGGATCATCTTTTCCCTTATTAGGTTTAAGAGGATCATATTGAGGAATATCTTTCAGAAGGTTTGCTAAGGGGCCATCCGAGGATAGAAGGGCTCCAGTGGCCCAGCACGGAGCACTACTTCCAGGCACAGAAATTCCTTAGCACCTGCCCCGAGCTTATGGAGCGCATCCGAAGTTTACCGGCAGATTCTGGGTTGTGCTTTGGGATAATGTTTAAGTTTAAGTTCCATTCTTGCCTCAGAAGGGAGCTGATTCGTAAATAGTTTTCAAAGGGTTTAAAGCACAACTCAGACTCAGGATTCCGTGGAGAGCAATTTCGAGGCGAAGCGCTTGGGCCGTTCTGGGAGGCTGAGAAGTGACTGGGAGCAGGTGAAGTACGCCGTCATGAGGCCCACATCTCATGCGGTTTAAGCACAAGGTTTCAGATGCAGTTCCGGGCAAAACCAAGGACTTTTGTAATTTTCGACATGTTTATGGAATTCAGGGTTTAGAGTCTAGGGAGCTGTGTACTCATCTTTTTTGTCAGAGTCTCCAATGCACGGCTAAAGCACGGATGACAGAGATCAGGACTGCTGTGCTGGCAAAGTTCTCACAGCACGAAGACCTACGGCGGAGGCTGTTGCAGGACATACCCCGTGAGGCCATATTTGTGGAGCACTGTGCTGATGCGGAGTGGGGCGACGGTGGCGATGGAAGCGGCAAGAACTTGTTTGGGAAAGTCCTCACGGAAGTGAGGGACACACTTGCCAAGCAGGAAGGAGATAGTCTCAGCCAGGAGACTGAAGGGCAGCGCCATGTCAGCGAGACTGTTGGTGCTCATGCTTAAAAGAGTCCACGCGTCACAGGGTTCCAACTTGCACTAGAGAGCTTCTGTGGGCTTGACGTTTTCCCGCGCAACTCTGCAACCCGCTTGCAGGAATCGACTGGCTCATCCCTATACCTCCTTTGAGGCGGGCAAAGCTGAGTGTGGAAACGGATCCATGTCCCACGCCACGAACTCTCAGACCGCGTGTGCTTTATCCACTTTGGCTCCAGGCCGCTAACTGACGGAATTTGCTTTGCTTCTTGGTGGCATTCAACCCTAAACCCCAAACCCCAAACCCTTAACCGCGGCGCTGTAGTGGTGTGCTGCTTTTCGCTGCGCGCTGACGCCCAGGCGCGAACTGACTGCGCCTTGGTCCCCTGGTTCTTAGTAGGGAATGAGGGAATGAGGGCCCCATATAAGTATATGTATATATATATATATATACATATATATGTATACCCTTTAAGGGATCATATAGGGTACCTCGTTCCCTCATTCCCTACTAAGAGCCAGCCATTCTTTGCAGCAAGTGCGGGGAATGCAACTGCAAGTCTCTGGTTTCTGAAGTGGCCGACGTTTGCTCGACACACTGCTTCTGTTCCGCCGTTCAGCTCTGTGAGAACTGCCGAGAACCTTGCTATGCCCAACATTTGCATGTACATCTCTCTCTCTCTCTCTCTCTCTCTGTGTCCAACCAGCGTGGGTATCGTACTGTAAAAAATGCAACATAAGCAAGGTGGACTGTATAGATTTTAGATTTTAGAGTTCAACATCTACCTCCGAAGGCAAATTGCCTTGCCGTCCCTCCTCAAAAACAAGTAGTAAGCACATGTTACCTGTGCACCTCTTAGACGATCCAAAGAACCGCACGCGAAAAACACAAAAAAAGCAGCGATGGCGCTGGTTCTGGCCGCGAGCACAAGGGACTGGGCAGAGGTGGAGAGGCTCCTAAAAGTCGGGTCGGACTCTTCTCAGCATTGCTTCCTGGTAGTTCCTTAGATAGAATTTTGAATGGTGCACTTTATACATATATATATATATATACATATATAGACATGTATGTATGTATGTATGTATGTATGTATGTATGCAAAAGCAGATATACACGCTATTAATGCATATGTGCGTTATTAATACATACGTACATTATATTATTATGTATATAGACATGTATGTGTATGTGAAACTGTCGATATATACTTATATAGATATAAATAAATAAATATATATATATATATATATATATATTTTTGTTTATTTATTGACATATCTATATATATATATATGTATGTAGAACTCGACACGCAGTCACAGTCAATGCACGACCATGCTGGGAAAGTGCGAGCTCACACTAAGGACGTGAACAAGCAAGACAGGCATGGTGGCAACAAAGCCCATGTGCGAGTGATTGTTGCGCAGCCTTAAAACCTAAATCCTAAACCCAAACCCTTCCTAAACCCTGGTTCGCGCAAGGTCTGGTCAGTCATGCCTCATGTGGACCGCGCAGTGGGACAACGCGAAGATGGAAGCTCCACCGCAAGTGATTGGCGTAGGTGTAGGGGTAGTGCACTGACGTTGCTTTTGGCCCGGCCCCCACGTACTTCCGTCATGAACCAGTGTCCATAAGGTGCGACTGCTGCTAGAAAGAAGAGCTGATGTCAATTTGAAGAGCTCGGGACTCAGATTAATCTGCCGGAGCCCCCCACACAGACACCCCAGTGGCGGAGCAGCTAGTTGGAGTTGGTTGTTGAAAGGCAACCATGGCGTCACAGCGCTGATGTTTGCCGCGGACAGCAACGCAAGAGAAATAGTTCGACTGCTTCTGGCACACCAGGCATACGTCGACCTCAACCAGTCATCACTGCTTTGGCGTTGATGCTCTGCACGCAAGTGAAGCATCTGTATTGGCCAGGCCAACCCTGATGAAAAGTCGAAGCATCTCGACTCGAACAGGGGCTGTTGTTGCGAGCACCAGCCAAGGTGGTTTTAATTTAGCTGCTGTTGTGGCATATGGGACATACATATGACCTTGTCAAGCTTGGCCCATACGTTTAGGCATGGAATGAACTCGCTCTTGCTGGCGGCCAAGACTCTTCCCATGCACTATGGCCCTCCGTTCTGTATGTTATCCCACGTATGCATGTCTGAAACACGGTGCCTCGCAACGCCTAGCACATCATTTGTCGACTGAGGAATGGGGCAGCGCAGACCGTACAGGTGCTGCTGCAGGGGCGGGCGAATGTCAACGTCAAGGACGGGAAGACTTGCTGCGCTCCCTATGGGGTCTCGCAGGTAACAGGACGATCACGTTGTCCGAAGTTTCCGAAGACACCACCCCGATCTGAGACCGTTTTGCTCTGTTGCCCGCGCAAGGGTGGAGGCGCAATGACGGCCCTCATGTACGCCGCTGCAGACGATCATGTCGATGCCGTGAGCGCGCGGCGCCCAGAGCAAAATGGAGCTTCGCAAGGGTAGCCGGGTAGCTGTCTGGGCGTTGCGAGGCGTTGCTGGACCATGCTGCCGAAGTGAATCTACAAAACGGTGGCACAGACCTCAGTGCCCCCGAGAAGGAATGAATCAACATGATGTTTCGATGATGTTTCGCGTTGAGTGCCCCTCCCCCCTTTGGTTGAAATCTGAGATGGACGGAGTGCCCTCATCTTGGCGACGCAGAAGAATGCCACCCTGCGAGCTCGGCACAACTTTGCTCCAATGGTCGACCTGCCTTCATAGGAAGTTTTTTTTACATTTTTTATATTTTTGCTTTGTGCGGCCCATCTTCAGCTATGCTAAATCAATCATTCTAGGCTTAGCTTGGTGTCCCATCGTAAGGTCGAGTATGTGAATGGCATGTCGCACTTGCCATCAGCTGCAGCCTCATCCGCGCGTCCAGCAAGTTCTGGCAGTAGGGTTGGGATGTCTTGCCCCTAAACCGTAAAAATCCTAAACCCTAAACCCTAAACCCAAAACCCGGCCTCCGAGGTCCTTGATCACCTTCTGGCGGCTCAGTCGGATCTGGTGCCTTGGATGACCGAACGAACTGCAAAATCTTCCCTTGCCCCAGCTTGGGGTTTAGGGTTCAGGGTTTGGAGTTTAGGGTTTAATTGGGGTTTAGGGTTTCGGGTTCAGGGGTGTCATGCATGGCATGATCGTGCATAGCTTCACTCGTCTCCCTGTCCGCAACATCCAACCCCGGAACCCTGAAACCTAAACCCTAAACCCTGGTGCTGTGAGGTCGAAGATGCTGGAACCCTAAACCCTAAACCCTAAGCCCTAAACCCTAAACCCTATAACCCTAAACCCTAAACCCTAAACCCTAAACCCTAACCCCAATTGGCATGCCAGGAGCTCCGAGATAAGGAGGGGAAGAGGGCCCTGGACTACGCAGGCGAGGGCAGCGACTAAACCCTATGACCCTAAGCCCTGCAGGGTTTAGGGTTTAGGGTTTAGGGTTTAGGGTTTAGGGTTTAGGGTTTAGGGTTTAGGGACTATACCCTATCAACCCTAAACCCTGTATGCTTAAGAACCCCATAAAGATGAACAATGGTCATCCCTATATTGCCCTTACAAGAAAGAATATGTCCATTTTTTGGGTGGGTAATTGATTCAAATCGTAGGTGACCTTCTACTTCTTACACAGCAAATGGTCTTTTCTCTAAACTATGGTCCCTTCTAAAGGTACCCTAAGTTAGGCTTGGAGAGCCAACCGTGCCTCTAAACCCTAAACCCTAAACCCTAAGCCCTAAGCCCTAAACCCTTAGTTTTCATCTTCTATATCGATGTGGTCCTGACGGAGGGACTCCAGGGACTTCAGGCTTAGGGTTTAGGGTTTAGGGTTTTGGGTGCACAGCTGTCTGGCTTCCTTGCTGCGGCTCGATGTCACTCGGCTAGGGGAACTCAACTTTAAACCCCAAACCCCAAACCCTAAACCCTAAACCCCAAGCCCTAAGCCTTAAACCCCAAACCCTAAACCCCAAACCCCTAAACCTTCTTTCTGGAGGCGGCAAAGCCGAGCAGCTCCTCCGAAGCTGGCCCAACCGCGTGGCGATGTTGGCGGCTGCCTTGGAGTCTGCCGAGGCGACGTGGGCTTTCCATTTAGGGTTTAGGTGCAGGGTTTAGGGGTTTAGGGTTTAGGGGTTTAGGGTTTAGGGGCTTAGGGGTTTAGGGTTTAGGGGTTTTGGGTTTCGGGGTGCTTTGTCCCAGGATCACGAGCCTGACGCTGCTGAGCCTTACGCCGAAGTTGCCTGAGATCGGACGGAGTGCAGCCCGAAATCAGGGCTGCAGCGTGTCACCCTGCAGGCCGTGACCAAAGGTGTCGGGCCCGTGCGTGTATATCACACTCCCTGAGGGACTGGGTGCCTCCTGACCTAAACCCTGCATTGTGCTTTGCTTTCAGCCGGACTGTTGCGCGATGAAGCCACTGAGGGCTTGCTCTGCCAAGGATGAACCAGTTGGGCCGAGCGGTTATGCCGCAGCCTACGAGGCATGTGATTTTTATGTGATTTTTGGCCACGGTTTCGCTTCTCTAGCAGTGTGGATTGTAGACTGCTCGCGTAGTTCACTCTTGAATTCGAAGGACCCTCAATGGCAAGAACCTGAAGATGTCTGGCGAAGCAGGTATCACGTCTAGTGCTTAGCTCGCACCAGATGGTGCATTGCGGACCTGACTCTGCGTTGCATTCCTTGCAATTGTTGAAACAAGAAGTGGACACGCCCAAGGGTGAACGTGAGGCTGCAAAATGAGATACAGCCTCCCCTAAACCCTAAACGCTAAACTTTTAAACCCTAAACCCTAAAACCCTAAAACCCTAAAACCCTAAAACCCTAAAACCCTAAAACCCTAAAACCCTAAAACCCTAAAACCCTAAAACCCTAAAACCCTAAACCCTGAAACCCTAAACTACCCTAAACCCTAAACCCTAAACCCTAAACCCTAAACCCTAAACCCTAAACCCTAAACCCTAAACCCTAAACCCTAAACCCTAAAACCCTAAACCCTAAACCCTGAACCCTAAACCCCAAAACCCTAAACCCCTGATAGAGCCTAGGCCCAGCGGAGAAACAGCGACTCCACAGCTGACACCGGGCCGCGGCTTGGCAGGAAAATCATCTCGCGCTGGCTGTTTCGACTGCTTTCAGTGGGGGGTGGGGGGGGGGGTTTAGGGTTTAGGGTTTAGGGATGTTTAGGGTTTAGGGTTTAGGGTTTGGGGTTTAGGGTTTAGGGTTTAGGGTTTAGGGTTTGCTCGTTGCAAAAGGGTTTAGGGTTTAGGGTTTAGGGGGTTTAGGTACCCTGTTGGGGGTTCCTTTTTCATAGGATTCTGCTATCTTTTGGGGGGTCTATTAAGGGTACCCCTACTTGGGGGAAGTAGCCAGTAGTTTCCATGATGTCGGGGTTTGCAAGTATAGAGGGGTGCCCTTTCTTGATTTTTTGAGGGGGGTGGGGGGGTTCATCAAGATCAACCCTAAGCCCCTAGCCCCGATATATAGGAGCACCCCTATTGACCTTGAGCCTAAAAGCCATGAGCTCTTTTCTTTCTGTTTACGCCCATTTCTTGCAGCCAGGTTCTCCTCGGTGGTGCGATGGTTTGCAGGACTGGATTGGGTTCGTCCCTAAACCCTAAACCCGAAACCCGAAACCCTAAACCCTAAACCCTTCGTCATCACTGGAACATGGGCCGTGCGCGCCCTGCGCTAGCCCTGAAGCCTACACCCGAAACCCTCCGAAGCCTCGCCATGCCAATCCCTCAACTTGACCTTTTAGAATTCTTTTTGGGGCAATAGAATACTATTCATATATGTATACATATATATATATATATGTAAATAAATAAAGAAGTATTCGTTGTTTTGGGGGAGGGGGGGGGGGTCTTAAGCAAATAGTCGTGTAAGTTCTGGCTGCAGTGTACTTGGACTTGATTGAGACTTGGCGCTAGGTGTGGTTCGATGTAGCTTAGCAGGGTTTAGAGTGGCTGGGGGCTCGTGTGGCAAGAGAGAGCACTTACACCTCTACGACCTGGGGCCAACCCTACAAGTACACAGCGCCACCCCCCACAGGAGATGCAGTAGAATCTTCCGTGTGAGTGCCTTGGGCTGAGAATGCATGTGTGGCAGCTCAAGACTGTCATTTTCCCCCCTGCAAAGTTGGGGGTTTGTAGCTTACGCCTTTGCAGATGCCACCATGGCTCAGGACGTGATATAGTCGTGGTTTAACTTATGGCAGAACATGGTCTCAAGCAGCCCGTATTCGCAGCATTACTGGTGGCACCAAGCAGGGAGCCGCTGACATCGCCCAAAAGAGCAAAAAGGGCCGCGTGTCGACTGGACGGGGCTGGATGCAGCTCGCAGACGCAGCGGGCGAATTCTGAGCCGAAGACCACAGAAGCATAAGGATCCTGGTATTGGGGTATAACGGGGGATCCTGGAAAACCCTGTCTGTAGAATCCTGATGTGGTTATGTGGTTTTTTGGCCCCTGGAATTTTGCAGGCACTTTCAAGGACCTGTTGACTGCAGCTGGCCTGGACCTGGCAGACGAGGCGGGCCCAACGTTTATCCGTCAATCTTTTTACATACCCGAGGTGCTTGCTGCTTCGGTGCTGGAAGGGTTTCCGGCAATCCGATTGCCCTCTTTGGCACCTTCTTTCACAAAATTCTGTTCCTTTATAGCTCGACTTCAGACATCTTTGGTGAGTTTGCCAGAGGGAAGGGCCGTGCCGAGGTAGAGCCTCCGCCGGAGGATGCCTCACAACTTTGGCACTATTGGGGTGGAGGAGGCTGTTCCAAGTCAGTGAAGTAAAGGACTGGGCAATGGAAATTTCGTCGCAGGCAACACGGGCATGTCTGGCCAGATGACAAATAATGCAGAGTCGCCGACTTCGGGGGACGAGGAGTTCTCATCATCCGTAGCATGCGCCATGGGACGTCACGTGCAGCATCGCGCAACCCTTCCTGCAAGAGAAACGTGACGGTTTCCTTGCTGAGGAGACGCGCGTGTTCCATTTCTCACACAAGGGCACTTCCGTATCAGTGTCGCAGCTGCATTCTTCCGCTGAGGCATGCTGTAGAGGTATGCCATGCCCAGCTTCGTAGGTTGAGGGTTTAGGGTTTAGGGTTTAGGGTTTAGGGTTTAGGGTTTCAGCACCCACGGGAGTCCGGATGCAAAAGGGTTTAGGGTTTAGCAAAAAAGGGGTTTAGGGTTTTAGGGGCAGCTGCAAAAAAAAGGGGCAAGCGACCTAAAGCTTCGATGGGGGGGGGGACTTTTCCGATTTCCGAGGTGTCAGAGAGGCGGCATCAGGCAGCAGATCCCTTGGCCACCGACTACACTGGAGACTTGGTTCGTCTCCTGGATTCTCCCTACTTGTTGGCTCATGGTACTTCGTAAATTTAGTAACCGTTACTTATAACCCTTAAGCCCCTTAAGATTAGTTACTAGGTACCATGCACCCCCAAGTAGCTCAGCTTCACAACTCAAAAACGAAGCTCAGACTGGGTCAGACTTCTGCTGAGGTCTGGCCGACGGCAGTTGCCTTTAGCAGGTACCTTTGCCACGCGGCTCAATTGCGTCCTGAGTACCCAGACCCCCAGGATCCTTCAGGGTTTAGGGTTTAGGGTTAGGGTTTAGGGTTTAGGGTTTAGGGTTTAGGGTTTAGGGTTTAGGGTTTAGGGTTTAGGGTTTAGGGTTAGGGTTTAGGATTCGGGAGCTTTGCAGCGCCCAGCTGCCGATGCTGAGGTGAGAAGCCGCGCGACTTGGAAGGCCGTGTGACCACTCTTTTTGGCGGGCCGCATGAACCCGAATAGGGTTTATGGTTCACATACCCCAAAAACGGGTTATAGGAGACTCGGGCATATGACCCCCAATTTAGAGTTCATTTGGTCCCGCATTTGCACTCGTGTGTGGTCCCCGAACCCAAAACCCAAACCCTAAACCCCTGAACCCGGCTCGTGCATGAGGCCGGCGAGCCTTGGATGTGGGTGCAGGCACAGGCCTGGTGGGGCTGGTGGTGCATCGCGCCCTGGCTAAGCTAAGGAAACCTGCTCGCCCTTTTTATTCACCTCCCCTTCGGAGGACCAAGTGTCTTTTGATGCCCAACTGTACAAAAGTTGATGATCTTGAGTGGTCCGAGCATCTACTGCTTCGTTCTTCTGTGACATGCACTTAGGGCTGGGTGCGAAGAGCGCTAGAGGCCAAGCAGACTGATCGGGCGGGCCCGGCGCGAGAGCAACCTGGGTATTAAGTGCTCAGGTGACCTTTACCGACGTACCCCGTGTGATCCCGCTGTTATCCAGGCCCACTTTGTAGCTCGGAGTCACAGAATCAGCTAAGTCCGTGGCACCGGTGATGCAGGAACGTGACCTTGCATTGCATCAAGGATACAACCAGAAAGGCCCGCTCATGTTCGCCATTATGCTGCGCCCACGTGACCACAGTTCGTGGGTGCCCTTTTGTTAGGCTGTCGCAGACGAGAGACAAGCTGGAGAAGCTGTCGCTGGTTCCCCTGAATTGGAAGATGGATTTCTAGTGCTCCGCTTGGGCGCGGCGCGGTTGTTTGTTGCAGAGGTCCGGCCTTTATTTTGGGGGAAGGCTGAGGCTGAGGCTTTGGTGCAAGAACGAGGCCCCTGTTTTGCTCTTGCTTGTGCTTGTTGACAAGCTCTTGGAGCTAGCTCGCTTTCAACTCTGACATGCAACCATGCGCAGGTCACTTTGATGTTGTCCTTTGTTGCGAAGTGGTCTACCAGCAGCCCCAGCAGGCGAGGCATTCAGACGCCGTCCTTGTCGAAATATGTTTATCGAGCCCAGTCCCTCCCGAAGTCCAGGTATGGGAGGCTCTGCAAGCCGTTCTCAAGCAAGTGCTGACGCGACCTGGTGGGCGCATTGTGGGCGCCTCAAATTCTGGGACTGCACCGAATGGGCCGCCGGAGCGCGAAAGCGCAGAAGCGAGAAGATTTTAACTTGGGATGTTTCCCCCTTGTACTAACAGCCCCTAATATGGACTATAATAGCGGCACTATAATCCAAAATTATTTAAGGACTGTTAGTAGAAAATTAAGGGTGAACATGCCAAATTCGACTTGAATCCTGAACCATATAACAGGCAAGGTGCTCAAAGGCTCAAAAAATTCCGAAGCCGAGAAAAGTCGTCCCGCACGGCCGCGCCTGGGCAAACCCTAAACCCTAAACCCTAAACCCTCTCAGGTGTTTGCTTACCAGCATCGCGATGGTGCAGAGGCCTCCAGCAAGCTGGGCAGCTGCGTCATCTCCTAGATCCTGTAAGCCTGTCTTCTTTCAGATTAGGGGGTTTACGATATTAGGAGTACCTTTGTGGGGTCCTTATTATAATCAAGAGGATCCTACTAAATTTGGGGGTCTATATTACGAGTCCCACGTTTTGGGGTAAACCCCCTAATGCGCCTCTCCGTGGTAGGTAACAGACGCACGGTTCTTCGAGACACTGGAGGAAGCGTGCGGCGTCCGCCTCGAGAGCGAGGCGCTGTTGGGCCTTATAAGGTTTAGGGTGTAGGGTTTAGGGTTAGGGCAGCTTTAAAGGCTTCATCCCCTCTCCCTAATATTAAACCCCCACCCTACTCACGTAGTATGAAATACCCCCCCATAAGTCATTACAGTGAGAGTACTAGTATTAGGGGGAAAGGATCAGTCAGGACCACTTCGCTTGTCTGTTTCGGCATCAGTTCGCACTCTGACGGACCACTCGTTTTGAGTCTGTGTCGGGAGCATGTCGCTCTAGTACGAAGTATACTACTCCGAACTTGAACATATCCATCACGCATGTGCGCAGGCGCGCGCGCGCCCGCACGTGCGAACACAGAGGCTGTCAAAGTTACACACAAGCCGCGCAGACTGTCCCTTCAGTCGCATGTCGCATGCGACGTGTGGTGCGGCCCGGCAAACCCTAAACCCTGAAACCATTTGTGCAAAGCATTCTCTCTGCAGTTGCGGGATGGAGCATGGCTAGACGGGTGGCAAAAACAAAAATCCTAAACCCTAGAACCCTAAACCCTAAAAACCTAAAACCCTGAAAACCCCTGAAACCCTAAAAATCCCTGAAACCCCTAAAACCCTAAAAACCGTAAGCACCGTGGGAAGCGACCTGACTTTCAAGAAACCCTAAATCGTATCCCCTACCCTTTTTGGGGGTCCTTGAGTAGGGTTTAGGGGTTTAGGGGCAAAGGGGTGTAGAGAGCTAGCCAGCTCTCCAGTGAAAAAACATCAGTTTCAATGTGGATGATAAGCCTTGAGTGTTGGCTTAGGTAGATCTTGTGTGGCAAAGTTTGTGACACATGAATATCTCTGAAAAGAGAGCCTAATGAGTTGATCTTATTCTTTCTGAGTTCGTTGTTCTGGGTTCTGTGAAGTAATATTGGGTGGACTCTGGCATTTGTTTTTTTTGACACAGTGTAGTTAAACGCCTTGAAGTGCGCAGATGGAGATACATATCTAGCTTCTGTGAACCAAGTCTTAGGTGCATACCAGCCTTTGTGAAGAATTCCGCGAGTATTTCTTGGCTGTGCGTTTTGTGGCCTCGCTTGGGGTCTAAAAAGGTTTCTAAGGAATCTGTGCCTGTCCTTAACAAGGCTGCTGCACGGCGCACCTGCGTGCGGACCATGTACGGCATGTTACCTGCGCGGCGCGGCTTTCTGCGTATGTTCGAGCCACGATGCATCAGAGTAACCCCCATTTGCAGTCAGGAATCGTTAAGTGCCTGGGACGATGCGTGGGATGACATTGACTTCCGCTGGATCAGGACTTGCCGTGCGTGTGCGCGTGTGCGCTGATGTCATCGTGAGTTTGCACCAGCGCACGGATCAGGACATACGTGGCCACAGCAGATGCGCTGCTGTAGTTTGAGAAAAGGTGTGCAGGGTAAGCGTCTCGTTAATTTCAAGTCCGGACTGGCCTTCGCATGTTTGAAAGAACCCGCATCTTGCACCATTTGATAAGCAAAAGCCGCTTCCGGAGCTACCTGGCTCAAATCCATGACTCACTTCAAAAGCTGGGCCGAGTTGACAGATTCGTTGACTTTGAGGTTGGAGCTAGCAACAGTAGATGAACAGGCCATGCACACACATCTACAAGAAAAAGTGCATCTACAATAGCAAGCAATGGCAGGGCGTGCCAGGCTTGGAACTGGAATCTGTTTATGTGGACTGGGCATCGCTCTGGTCCTGGCCTTACGGTTGCACCGGTCACTAGCTTTCGCGCACGAGGCACCAGGCATATGGCAAAGAACCGTCGTGAGAAGAGCTCGGACCAGAGTAGGCGTAACTAGTGGTGTGAGCGGCACCCAAGAAGGATCAAGTGATGCCGAGCCAAGTGAGCCCAGTGAGCTCGCGCGGGAGTATGAGCAGATTTGGGATCTTCTGAAACACCGGACGCCGGCTAGTGCAGAAGATGTGCCCGCAGAGTTGCACCAGCTTGCCGCGCCAACGCCCAGAGCTGCTTGGCAAGAGCTGGGTCAACTTGTCACGGCTTTCGAGAGACCTGCATCCCTGAACGGAAGCAAGTGGGTGACCATTCGTTTGGATGGGTGCATGTTTGGCACGCTGACCAAGCGCATGAGAGATGCAGGGCTGATCGGCCCAGGCTACTCAGATGAGATTGGTGAAGCCATGCAGCTTTGCTGCCGAGCCATGCTGGATGAGTTTAAGGGTAATGTTGCTTATACGCATAGTGATGAAATGACCATCTTGTTATGCCCACGCCAAACTACCAAAGCGGGTGCTGCCCGGGACTGGCCTCATGGTGGTCGGGTCCAGAAATGGCTGAGTATCGGCGCGAGCATCGTTACAGCCTTGTTCAATCGCAAATTAGAGCAGATGGCTGAGAAGCGCGGGATGCAGCTTCCTCACGACATCATCGCGCACTTCGACTGCAGATTAGGAGAGTTCGATTCTTTGCAGGAGGCCCTTGCCCTGCTACTGTGGCGTAGCTTCGATTGCAGCGTCAACTGCCTCCAAGATGGCGCCCATCACGCAGGTGCCCCGTTAGAGGTGGTTCAAAGCGACTTCTCTCAGAAACTCCGGTGGCTTCACAAAGCTGGGCTGTTGCCCTTGAAGCCTCATCAGGCATATGGGAGCTTGTTTGTCAAGACCATAGGTGAGTTTGATACCATAGTTCCAGGCACAAACGAGACGGTCAGAGTTAGCCGCAAGGTGAATGTCAAAGTGAACGATGGTGCACATGGTCCGCAAAACCTTCTCTTGCTGCCCAAGTATGGTATGTCTCTGATACCCTCGGACGGTGACCCCCGCCTAGAGCTGCGAAACGGCAGCTACTGGCGCTATGCAGGTCCTTCTGGCACTGGTCAGGAGAGTAACCGTGAGGATGATGCTCGTCAAGACAAGAGGCGAAAGAGGACCTGGAAGCGCGCCGGTCGTCGCGGAGGTCCGAGACGGTCGTGACCAAGCTCAGCGTTCCGGCCTGCGCATGAGAAGTCCACCACAGCAGAAGAAAGATTACAGCAGACTCCTACAAGGAGTAGCCACGGCAGAGGCTAGAGCACACCCCAGCCCAGCGCCTCCCCAGAATTCTCCCCGAAATAATGCGCAAAGCGGGTTCTGGGCATCATCTTGAAGTTGAATCGAAGGGGAGCTGCACGAGTACTTGATTCTGACACGCAGAGGTTGTATGTTTGAGCTGAAGTACATGAGTGCGTCCGCTCGCGCGCACATTCTTACGTGCGCGTGCGTACATGCTTTGGAATCTGTTTGGAATGCTTGCGTGTACATGCGCACCTCTATCGGCGAATCATGCGCATCGTCTTCGGGACCTGCTCACTTGATTTCGTGCTGCCTCGACAGGTCTCAAGAGCCCAAGTGCACTGCGACTACACTCATGGCCTACAGCTTCATATGCATGATCGTTCCAGATTGGGATGTTCCCCCTTATACTAACAGTCCTTCCCTATTATAGTACCCCCTAGTATAATCCCTATTAGGAGCCGTTAGCATAAGGGGGAACATCCTAAGTTCCAGATCATTCCAGTATCTTGTCGTAGTAGTATGGGAACTCTGGGCTAAACCCTGCACCCTAAACCCTAAACCCCAAACTAATCTGGGCTGAAGCTGAAGTTGTGGCAGGCAGCAATGCATCGCAGAGCCTTGCGTGTGTGCAGTTCCTGGCCCAAATCTTAGCAACAGCACCCTAAACCCTAAACCCTATAAACCCAAAACCCTAAACCCTAAACCCTAAACCCTATAACCCTAAACCCTAAACCCTAAACCCTCCACTCCGGCAAAATGGGCCATGAGGCGCCCCCTGCAGCGTTTAACTGTGCATGTTTGCACGGTTGTGCCGCCGAAACCGACAACGGCAGCTCATGTTCGTCCTCTGGCTGGCTCCAGAGAAGTGACATGGCAAAGGGTCATGAACTCATCTGTTGGCCCTAGCCTCATCTGACATAAGACCTGCACGTGAGATTGTCTAATGACAAGCATCAAGCAGAATCAACAACCTGGTCAGGTCATGCTAGCAGGTCCATGCTAGCAGACAGTCAGGTCACCCCTGAACATGTCTTTGGTAGCTTGATTTGTGCTGTGTGGCAAGCCATGGGCGGCCTGCTGGACAAGCCTGTCAAGGACAAGCGGATTGAAACAGGAGGCGAGCGCTTTCATTCGGCCAGCGCACCATGCCTTTCCATTGCAAGTCTGGGTTATGGATAGGCATGGAAGCGCGACTGATGGGCGGCTGTATCTTGAACAGACCGAACGCCCGTGAGATTCGCCTAATGCTTCACTGTTACCATTGGCCAAAACAATCTACAAGTGGCTCCAATAATCTCGCCGCAACACTCTGAGGTACGGCTCACTCAGCTGTTTTTGGTTTTAAGACATGCCAACACGTTCGACGAGCGGCTGCAACTTTTGACGGAAACACTACACACGGCACGGCCGAGAAGGGAGCCGGGCAACACAGAGCGCGGGAGAATAGAGGCCAGAAGTGATAGCGCGATGCGAGCAGCATGAAGATGTGGGCGAGCAACCCCATGGCAGGGAAAGCGCAGGGCAATCCCGGCGAAGCTGATGCACACTGGCACAAAAATCAGGCAGGCGCCCCCGCAGAGACCAGACGGACACACGCCGACAAGGAAACGCCTTGCTGACACTGCCACGAAAACAAAAACTACAGTACTAATTGCTTTGCGAAAGAATCCCCCAAAACAGAAAAAACTAGTCTCCATTTGTAGGGTAATATAGGGATGATTATTGTTTACTTTTGGGGTTCTTAAGCAAATAGTAGAAAAGGTCCAAACCATGAAGGGCCAACAGTTTCTGGAGCCGAGATACACCGGCAAATTAGCGGCCCACACAACAGTCAGCGCGGAGAAGCAGGAAAGACCAGACTGCTCCACCACTCACAGCCTGCACAGATTGCGGAGAAAGCCACGTGCGAGAAGAGAAGGCCGGACCAGAGACAGCGGCATGAGGCGAAGGGAAGGCAAACAAGCTATGTGGTCACTTCTCTAAAATGTGGTCCCTTTGGGGGACTGCAAGAAGGGACCATAATGTAGAGAGCTGACGATGTGGATGAAGCGAGAAGTCAGGGCAGGCAGGAAAATATCAACCGCTGTGAGATCCAAAGCCACGTAAGCGACACACCGTCCTCCAACAGCAGCAAAACAAGTACCAGCAAAATGCCTTTGGTGGTTTTAAAGTTTGGGGTTTAGGGTTTAGGGTTTGGGGTTAGGGGTTTAGGGTTTAGGGTTCAAGTTTTTTCCGCTGAATCACCGGGGCGTGGCGGAGATGATGAGAACGCAGAAGACGACCCCCCCCCCCCGATATCGAGAAGTGAAGACAGTGAGCTGCCACATACAGGGGGTGCTAATCGGGGTTTAGGGTTTAGGGTTTAGGGCTTAGGACTGCTAATTTTTGAGTGAGAAAGGCTGTCGGGGATGTCAAGCAAGTGGCACTAGGACCTATGCCTGAGTATGTATTGCCAACTAGGTCCCGATGCTTGTCCCTCTGTGATGTGCTCAGTCTGCACCGAGCTCGAGTCTGAGTTCTGGCATGTGGGATTTCCATGGACTGGCGGAAGTGCCTCCTGCTTTGTAAGGCTGAACTCTGGGACCCCCAAGAATCCCCCCAAACCCCCCAAACCCCCCAAACTCCGGCTGGCCCGTGGGCTGCCTGGCTACCTATCACGAAATTTGTTTGGGGCCTCATTCCGCAATGAACGCCAAGAAGGCTTTAGATGGAACCGGCCAAGCTCAGTTCCATTTCCTGGAACCCACCCTAAGCACCAACCTGAAACACAAACTTATGACCCCAGCAAACTGAGTTCGCAGAAAAGTTACTGAGAACTTGTGACTGTATATTCTGAAAGCCATTGCAACATGAAGAGGTTTCAGCATAACAAAAGGCCGCGCCCGACCTGCCGACTTGCTTCAGTTTCCCTTCCAACACTTCCTGTTTAAGATCCTTGTTCGGACAGGTGATGAGCGAATGGAATGGGTAGCAGCAGATATGCAGGGCTGGAGACAAGATATGGAGGACGAGCACATTGCAAGCTCCAACGTTGGGGAAGAGTTGCGGGCCCAAAGCTAGAGTCCTTTCATCGTGCGTGAGCTATACTTTGGGATGTTCCCTCTTATCCTAACAGTCCTTCATAGAGATTCTAATCGGGGTATACAATCCCTATATGAAGGACTGTTAGCATAAGGGGGTACATCCCAAGCTATACTTCTCCACTCGTGAGTTACCCTAAACCCTAAACCCTAAACCCTAAACCCTAAACCCTAAACCCTAAACCCTAAACCCTAAACCCTAAACCCTAAACCCTAAACCCTAAACCCTAAACCCTAAACCCTAACCCCTAAACCCTAAACCCTAAACCCTAAACCCTTACTTCTCCACTTCGCGTCAAGATTCTGGCAGCCAACTCGCCCAGGTTTGCTGGTTGTGGAGTTTATTGCGTCTTCGATGGCCACGGTGGCTTGGCTGACCATCACTAGGGTTTAGGGCTTTAGGGTTTAGGGCTTTAGGCTTTAGGGTTTAGGGTTTAGGGTTCAGGGTTCGGGTTTCAGGGTTTGGGGTTTAGGGTTTGGGGGGTCGCTGCAGCGAGAAAGGAATGCCAGCTGAGGTGGCAAGGCCGTCTCCAAGTTTTGCAAGCCGCTTGATGGACAGCAGCTGCTCATTGTTCTTCCGCCCCTGTCCTTTTTTGTTGCTAAAGAACTCCGGAACGAAAGAAAGCCATAAGTCACTAAACCCTAAACCCTAAACCCTAAACCCTAAACCCTAAACCCTAAACCCTAAACCCTAAACCCTAAACCCTAAACCCTAAACCCTAAACCCTAAACCCCAACCTCGACTTGACCCTGCGGATGCGGGGGCTGGATGTGCGTGCAGTGCGGGTGGTGAAACCCTAAACCCTAAACCCTAGGCAGCAATTCATGCCTGAGCTCATCCAAACTACGGCAACGATGGGTCGCTCGAAGTTCGGCAAGAACAAGGCCCCGGCGCAGAAATTCTTGAAGCCCCTGAACCCTAAACCCTGCAAATGAGCATTGAGGTAGAGTCTACGTCGTTGCTATTTAGGGGTTCCTTGCAGAAGTTGAGAAGCGTATATGTTGGGAGTCTTTTTGGGGATTGACAGCAGTAGAATCCCAGCACCTCCTCAAGCTGTCGGCTACATGCCCGGCACTGCCTTGCCTCTGCCAGAACAAGAAGCGTCATTGCGGCGCCCATTTGGAAGCCTCAGATTTGGAGGAGATCCTCAAGGCCCGGAAACTGCTCGGAGGTTCTTGGGTACTTGTAGGTGGGCTGGGGTTATAGGTCCAGGTACCCAAGGAAGGCTATAGCCAGTTACAATCTTGCAACTATAGGTGCCCTACTTATCACCCTTCTTATAAGTACCCTTATGAACCTCCAACTGTGGAGAGGGGTATACCGTTATGCCTGCAACTGGTTGGGTCAGGCCTCCTACCACCGGATGGATGACCTGCTGCGCGAGCCATCCAACGCAAAGGCGCGTGGAGACGGGAAGCAGGTGTTCGCTTTTCAAGCAGACGCTTGTCCTGACTGCAACCAAATCCCAAAATGGTAGGTGCTGGCACGCTTCATGGGGAAAGTGCCCACCGGTGCTATCCAGGACATGGCGGTTATTTCATGATGCATGTGAGGGAATAGTTTGGGGACTCTGAGATGCTTTGAGTTTATTGTAAAGTCGACTAAGAGTCACGGGAGCTGTTGATGATCATCAATGGCTAGGTGCACTTTTGATACCGCACAGATGCTGTCTTCCTACACTCATGGCGTAGGGCTTCGCATTTCTCTGCTGGGCTCCCGTAGGGCCGTACAGACCGCCGGAAGTTGTTGTATTCGCCACCTTGAAGCTTCACATGGGTAATTTGGCATTCGATTCGATTGAGGTGACCTCAGGATACCTTTGGGGCAAGTCTTGATCTGCAGTGCGTTCACTGAACCCTGGGGACCCTAAACCCTAAACCCTAAGCTATTGTCCATAAAGTCTGACGACGATGGGGCGGCAGGGTTCCGACATGTTCCGGCAGGACTTGGAGAAGCAGTTGGCGGGGATGCACCAGCGCTCTCAGACGCTTGTTGGGTTTAGGGTTTGGGGTTTAGGGTTGTTCTAGGTTCTTTTCTGCAGCTGCAAAGGATAAGGCTTCAACCGGCAGGAACAAGAACTGCTGCCAATGCGGTGCTGCATGTGCAAAGAGTGAATCATTCTGGCATTAAATTAAGGAAGGGTGGCTTGAGCGACGCAGCTCTTCGTCTGCATGAGTGAGAGGGTTTTAGGGTTTAGGGGTTTAGGGTTTAGGGTTTAGGGTTTAGAAGTTCAACTGCAACAAAGGGCTTCTGGAGAAACAGCACACCTGGCCAAGCAGGAGCAAAGCGAGATGAAGGAGTCCTTCATCAAGTTGCAGAAGTTAAAGGCGGCAGAGAAGGGCGTTGCATCCTCAGCGTGGCACACTTTCAGGATTCAGGGTTTAGGGTTTAGGGTTGACACCCTGAGATATGATTTCCAATGCATTTGAGGACGAGTTTTGTGCCGACACTGTCGGTTGCACGGCCGTGTGCGTTCTTGTGCGCAAGCAGGACTGGGTCATGCCTGGCGTCGATGTGCTAACAGCTACTGGTAACAAAGCCGATTCCTGCTATTTGTTTAAGAACCCCAAAGAAGTAAAAGACAATCATCCCTATACTACCCTTATAAGGAAGAATATGTTTTAAGTTTTTTGGGGTATTCTTAAGCAAGTAGTAGATTCGATGACCTGCACTGTGGTTGCATGAGCATTTGAGGGTCCTAGGCTGCAGATGACTTCCACAGCGATGCTGTTCCACTGGGCACTATGAGTCCCTTTACACCCATTTAAACCCCTCCCCCAACATTAAGACTCAGCCTTTCCCCCTAACAAATTAAACACTCCAGTATAGATTCAGAGGCCTAGCATTGTCTGCAACGCTGTGCCTTCTTGGTAAGCGGGTTGAGAAGCACCTTAAAGAAGGTTAGAGTTATAGCCAGCTAGAACAAGAATTGCCCGACTGATAACCTGCTTATAAGTGCCCTAAACCCTAAACCCTAAACCCTAAACCCTAAACCCTAAACCCTAAACCCTAAACCCTAAACCCTAAACCCTAAACCCTAAACCCTAAACCCTAAACCCTAAATCCTAACCCTAAACCCTAAACCCTAAACCCTAAACCCTAAACCCTAAACCCTATAAACCCTAAACCCGAAAAAACCCGCATCAGCAGGATGTCATCACTGCCAATGCTGGGGACAGCCGCGCAGTCATGTGCCGAGCTGGGACGGCCGTTGAGCTGTCATACGACCACAAGCCGCCCGACCGAGCTTAGGGTTTAGGGTTTAGGGTTTAGGGTTTAGGGTTTAGGGTTTAGGGTTTAGGGAATAAAACCGCTCAGCTGAGACGCAGCTGAGAACTGACAAGTGTATCTCCTAAACCCTATAAACATCCCCAAACCCCAAACCTATAAACATCCCCAGACCCTAAACGCCTTCTGGGTCAGCACGCTCCTGAAGAACCCTTGAGCAGATCGGGCCAGATGTTCTTGGAGTGCGTGACCAGTGCGAAATGCATGCAAATCGCAAGTGAACAGATAAGCCGGAGGCACGCAAACACAGCAGCGTGGAGAGTGAATCATGACAAATCGGCAAAAGAAATGAACATAGCAGTGTAGGATATGCATACTTTAAGTTCAAGCACATCGCAATAAGCCAGAGGCACGCGAAAACCAGCAGCGTTAAGAATAAACGTAACAAGTCGTAAAAAGGTAATGAAAACAGCAGTGTAGGGATTTTGGATTGTATCGAAGCCTCGGCTGCCGTGCACGAGCATGAGAGTCGAAACCCCAAACCGTCAGCCAGGCAGGTGGCAAAAAAATGCGAAACCCTAGGCCCTTTCATGCTGAGTGGTTCATCCAGCTATGCAGGTGGCATAACACACGTTCATCAGCCCCCGAACCCAAGGCCTGCTTCTCAGACTGAGAAGAGCCGGATCGAAGCAGCCGGAGGCACCATTGAGGCAGGGCCGATTGCTTTGGGATGCCCTATGCGGGGTCGACATGGACATTAGGAGAAAAGAGTGGCGCCCATCCCCAAAGGACGACAACCCTTCGAATGCGGGATCCCCAAGATTGGTGCACAGAAAATTCGCCCCCCAGAGGAGCTCATAGGGCTACCCTAACCCCTAGAGCACAAACCCTAAACCCTAAACTCTGACCTGAAACCCCAAACCCTAAATGTCGAGCCCTGCGTTTGGCTTGAGCTGAGGACAATGGAGGCGTTCCTCGCGTCAACGGAAACTTGAACCTCAGCCGCGCCATCGGCGATTTGGAGTACAAGAAGCATCCCGGCATGGGTTTTTAGTTTAGGGTTGAGGGTTTAGGGTTTAGGGTTTATGATTCACGAACGCTATGGTCACTTCTTCAAATTATGGTCTCTTTTCGGGTACCCTAAAGACGAGGGGCCACCTCATAAAAGGGAACCTACAAATAAAAGGGACCATAGCTTCGAGAAATGAACATATGAATCATATCATGGACAGTATGCATATGGTGAGCATAATTCAAAACAGATTCAGTATTTTGCCAACTACTGTCAAAGTATTCGCAATCCCCATAAGACTAAAAGGATTCATATCAATGATTTTCCGCCGCTCAGTCAAGCTAGCAACTTACACAATAGTTTGCTGTTCTGAACAAGAATAGCAGTATCCCTTTTAGTATCAATCACATGTTCGATCTTACACGCTGCCGAGGCGAACGGACTTGCCTCCACAGGACAGTTGCATTGTCGTTTCCTTCAACAGCTTACTACCGGGATTTTCCCCAAAAAGGCCCCAACCCTAATATACCACAAAACAGTATAAGCCATGCATAAAAGGAATCCACCCCAAAACGGTACCTGCATTGTCGGAAAGCCCCCATATCCTCCGCCAGCGCAATCAATGTCTGCAGGAGCAAGTGATTTGCTCGACTCCGGATGTGGTGATCCGCGAGCTGACTCCCGAAGATGAGTTCATTGTTCTGGCATGTGGCTGGGTCGCGATCACCAACGCGAGAGAGGTTCGGAGAAGGTTGTTGATGTATTGCAGTTGAAGCTAGGGGTGGCCACGCGGAGTGGATATCTTGTAAGACCATACGGAGTATGACAAAAGACGCGAAGGTTTGCAGGAGTCTGGTGGGGTGTGCTACCCGAAACCCTAAACCCTAAACCCTGCAAGATTCGGTGTCTAGGCCATGGTCTCGTAAACGATGACAGAACGCCAGAACGGTCGCCTTTGGTTCAACAATGCGGGCCCCTTCTGTTAGCTCCAGCCCAAGCATCCAGCCCCCAATCCACGCGAGTGACCCAGCACAAGAATTCTCCTCTGTTGAAAGGCGTGCAAACCCTGTAATTAACTCAAAATAAGGAGAGAAGAAGCGATAACATTTTAAGGGACAAACGGAAGGTAACGGTGCTATTTGTACAGCCTCATGGCTTTGTGTTGCAGAGCCAAGGTGATGGCATCTGGGATGTCATGTCCAACCAGGACACACACACACACACACAAGACCGCAGAGAAAAATGAACACATTTTGCCACAGCACTTGACACACTTCATGCTGGCTACTGTTGAGGACATTTGCGACTTTGTGCGGCCGCGTCTAGAGACTTGCCATGCAGAATGCGCTCATCCGAAAGCCTTCTTGGGCTTAACTTACCTTTCGCTTTGATTAAAGTGGCCCAACCGACCCAAACCTACGTAATTAAGGGCCTTCGACTGGGTTCTCATTGCACTTGAAACCCTATTTGCTTGCAAATTCTACCCTACACGCACGCACGCATGCACACATGTCGTCGTGAGCTGCAACGAGATCATCCTCTCCCGCGTGTGTGGTGGCTACTCTTTAGAGTGGTCGCCTTACTCACGTGAATTTGTTGGGTCTATTGGCAATGTTGGATTGAATGCGGTTGCCGGCTGCCTTTTCATGGCCCACACACCTTCTGATGCCCATACTGCCATATGCTTTGTACCTACGGAGGGGGTCGCGTCGCGGGTGTGAAAGCTTCTTGCTTCCCCTTGGCCAAGCATTGGCCTTTGAATCTGTGGACGCATTCAGCTTGCCTACAGCTCATAGAGTCTCGCCACTCAGCGTGTCACCTTGAGTTTGCACAGTTGCTTCCACTAGCGTTCGTGGCCTCTGGTCGCACAAGCCGCAAGCTCATCAAAACCATCAACCCTCACCCCTATAAACCCTGCAGGTCGGAAAATAAACCCAAAACCAAGCAAAAACAAAACCCTAAACCCTAAACCCTAAACCCTACTTCCATACAAAGCTGCATGGATCTGAGGAAAAGGGCTTGGACTTGAAGCTCATCTCAGAGGAGCTTCTGGAGCACTGCTGCACCGAGGCGATACGCCCATTGAAATTCCCCAACTGCCAATTTGGAGGTTAGGGTTTAGGGTTTAGGGTTTAGGGTTTAGGGGTTTAGGGTTTAGGGTTTAGGGTTTAGGGTTTAGGGTTCATTAGGGTAAGTGGGGTTTTTGCGAAGCCTAGAAAAGGAAGTATAAGTGAAACATGGGGGTTTCCGAAATTAGGGGTGCCTGATTGGGGCCCTTATTATGAGGGAATCCTACTCTTTGGGGTTTATGTTAGGGGTCCCCTATTTTCGAAAACCCCAAAATAAAATGTAGACCAACCGTTTGTCTAGAAACCCACCTGTCCGCTCAAGAGTTCTGCTGCAAACCCTAAACCCTAAACCCTAAACCCTGAGGACCCAAGCCAGACGCAGGGCCTGGGAACCGACAACATGACGGTGGTGATTGTGAAGCTGAAGGAGTCGTCGACATGGACGGGCTCCTGAAGTTTGCTGAAGGCGGCAAGATGCCGCGAGTGCTGCTTCGGGTACATGCAGGTACCCACCCCCAATGCTCAGAAGCAGGTCCATGCCTCTGACCGAAGTGCAAGCGCAGTATATGACGATTGCAACTAACATGGACCTGCTGCTGACAGTAGGAAATCTATTTGACCCACTTGGCCTGCTCCGGCTGTCTTCCAAGTGGGAGGCAGACGGAAGCAGCAATCTACTCAGAAGCCATTCGCGGAAAAGAAAGGGTCACGCATGCTTGCAGTGTAACAATCAAGAGAAGTCCTGTGACAACCTCCGAGCAACTACTGGTTGTGGTTGTACTTGGTTGGTCAGGGAAACTGAGCAGAATCTTGCACCTTTCATGCCAGGAAAACAGGGTGCTGGAACCAGGCGCCGCTCGCTGGATCTGGAGCAGGCTGGGACTGTCTTGCAAACCAAAGCAGCGTTGGCAATGTGCGTTTGTGAGAACTCCAACTCGACTATCAAGTGTTAGAAGATGCGGACGCCTCAATGCACCTCCGATCTCGCCCCTGCCGTATGGAAGGCCAGCTTCGTATCGAGACATGCTGAGTTGGCCGGAGGGCTAACCTGCAGGGCATTTGTGGCAGCCCGACGTCGGTGAGGCTTTATGAGGTCCTCCTGTGCAGGCGCTATGCAGAAGGCCTACCTGAAAGGCTGGGTCGTGATAATTCGCCAGGGTGCTTGGAGGTTCACAGGTACCTATATGAGTGGGGTAATAAGTGCTCTACCAATTACAAGTACAATTACCTAAGTCTAACCCTACTTATAAGTACACATGAACCTCAAAGTGAAAAGTGCACCTATGAGCTCTTAGTATCGTCCCTTATTACAGGGTTCGAAAGTCTGGGCCCTTGGGTTGTATAGAGTATATAGGGGGTAAATAAGGGACCATGTACCTACCCTAAGAGCCGTTTTGCTTGCAGCAGTTTTGCAGCTGAGAGGGCGACGTGCGACGAGCGCGTGAGTTAAAAGCAAGGTGAGCCAACGTGTGAGTGTGAACCGGTCCGGTAAGTGGGGTTATCAGGTACCCTGAGCAAGGTTAACACCAACCATAGCTACATTTACCCTACGAACCTCTTCCATACATGTCCGCACAAGTTCCGCACATCTCGGCTTCACTTGGCCGGTTGGGTCAGGTCCGTACATCTCTGGGCACCCTGAACCCTAAACCCTAAACCCCAAACCCCAAACCCTAAACCCTAAACCCTAAACCCCAAACCCTAAACCCTAAACCCTAAGCAAATCTTGGTAAGCGAAGCCGGGTCGCAACCCTCTGGCACTCACGTCCCTGGTCTTTGATACGGTTCCCCGTCAATATATATATATATATATGTATATATAATATTGCTATATATGCTTTTCTCTATATATATATATATATATATATTGCTATATATATATATATATATTGCTAGCGGCTAGGGTGGTGCTTTGTTTTGCATCATTTCCACCGCCTTGCATTGTGTCATTTTGATGTGTGCCGCCGCCATGACTGATGAAACGTTAGCTGGCGTCACAAGTCTTTGTAGTGGCTCACGCCCCTTCCAGAGCTTGCTTTACTACCATGGCTTTGCTTGCCAAGGCAGGCCTTTTGAGGGCAGGGGAAGTAGAGATAGAATTGCAAGATAAAGGCCATCGCGCATATACCCCGCAAACACAGTCGTGAATCTCATAACTTGAGACCATGGTAAGTTGTTGTGCACCCCCCCCCCCCCCTCGCCTTTGTGATACAAGCAGTGAAGTGTGAGAGAATCCCAGATGCTCCGGTTAAAGGCCGAAGCCCAAATCCCAGCCCAACCCGCCCATGCGGTCATGCAAGCCTGCCACGAGGCCTTCACCGTTGGGATGGCAAGTCCTGTGGTGCCGGTTGCAAGGCCAGCACACCAGTGTGAGCTTACGAGGCTGACAAACAGAGGGGTGTGATAGAGAGAGAGAGAGGCGGGCATAGGTTTCCACCCCGATTGACTGGACCTGTAACGCATGCCCTTCCAAGCGGCCCACTTCGGTGGGTTGCGTGTGCTGGATGGATGGAAGGATGGAAGGAAGGAACGAAGGCAGGAAGGGATGTTTGATAACTTTCTCGCGCTTCTTCTCCTTTTTCCCAGCCATCATTGTCTTTGTCTCCTAATATGACCACTGCATGTCAGTCTACCCGGCCAGCGGTTTGTTTTTACATCTATTCTCTTGCGCCTCCCACACGTTTGTACATTGTCAGGTGCGTAGGCCCGCGCGCCAACCTATATGTGAAACTGATGCCCAACAAACGGGAACGAGTTCCGTGCTCATAAGATTCGACAGCCAGAAATGCCGAATTTCGCTCAGTGAGTCGATTTCATAGCCTCAAAGCCATACTTTCTGAGGGCTTAACCTCGTCTGCCAGTCATTTGTAGTTGAAGGACCCAGTGTGCAAACCTTAGCTAGATGAGAAAAGCGCGCAGAAACTTTTCAAGACTGCATAAATGACAAGTAACAGAGTCGTAAGGAGAATGGGTCCAATACACATCTTCAGGCAACCCTGTTGAAAGTCAACCCGTGCCAAATCCAACACAGACTCGTCGTGTCGACGTCTCCAAGCTTCCTACCGAAGTGGAAAGGGTTTAGGTGGGGTTTAGGGTTTAGGGCTCAGTGAGCAGGCGTTTTTGCATGCACATTCCGACAGACAAGCACAAACAGAGATCAGCATGGTGCCAGACTGCCAGACGAAGGTTGCTGCCGAGGTCTCGAGCAAAAACCCTAAAACCCCGCTTTGGCGGGTGGCAAAAAAACCCGACGGCCATTACATTTATTACTTAGAACTGTCCTCTGGCTGTGGATGGGGACTGAGAAAAAATGATGGCAGAAGTCAGCTACTATGCCTACATGTCGAAGGTTTGTACATTGGATTTCGGCTATGTCTTGACTTGTGGCACGGTGATGCTGACTATCACCTACAGCTGGGAGCTAGTGTACTTAGGTTTTAGGGTTTAGGGAAAGATGCACAGTTGTATTGTTCCAAATTGCGAAGCAGAATAGCAGTAAGGGATCTGGTTTTGTGGTTTGGCTCACTTCGCCTGATGGTCCGCTTGAACCCCACTTTGAAACCAGCTGGTGGCCTAGTTAGGTAAGGTTTGTTCGTTTGCCGTGGGGGATGGCTGCTGGTGGGGGTTTGGTTTATTCTTTGAAAAGAAGAAGGAGCAGTGAGGACGGACTCCGTCTTTTCTTCTCCTGAGGAATAGTGTGCCTTTTTCCCTGCGCTGCGACTTTCAGTAGTGTTTAGGGTTTTGGGGTTTAAGCGGGCGGCCAAAACAAAAGCCAACTTTGCTGCAGGCCCGCCTCGCGGCCTGACCAGGCTGCACATGAGCTTCCGGAGCGAGGCGTGCACCTGAGAAAAGGACTGGCGAGATGTTTTTGGGGCCCCTTATGCTAACAGTCCTTAATCGGGATTATCAACGGGAGTGTAAAGGGGAACATCCCAAAGGATCTGGGGGCCTTGGGGCCAGGAAGAAACATTGAACGGCTGAGAAGGGCTAAGGCAGACTTTGCTGCAGGTGTAGTTGTGACAGCAGTGGGCCATGAAGGTGTCTCGTCGGCGCTTGCGTCGGCCGCCACGGCATTGGCAGTTGGCATGGTGGCCAAGAGGCGCCAATGCCCTGTTGGGGGATTAATGCCCAAATAGTCGCACGCAAAACAAGGCGCTGGTGTGGAGACAAGACAATGTATTTTTTCCATCTCAAAATAGGGATGCACCTTTCTCGAAAAGGGTTTACGGTATTTAGGGTTTTCGCGTTTTGAGGGTTTGCAGGCCCTGAAGCAAAAGAAGCCCTAAGCATTGTGCAGCTCAAGCCTACAACACCGCAAGCCACCTCAGTCAGCCAGAGCTGGTCTTCATAAGTTTTAGACCCCCCTTAACTTTTTTGTATTTAGAACTCAAGAGAATATGTTTTTTATTGTAGCTCTAAGGGGAGAAACAATCCTCAACCGACGCATGGGATGGGGGGGGGGGGGGCGGGGTGTGTCGTCTCACGCAGGCGAGGAGCGGCAAAAGGAGCAGCGACCCGGCTCCAAGTAATTGGTGGGAGATTGTGGGACTTACTACAATAATGAAAAGATACGCAACTTAATAAATAAATTCCAAAAATATAGGCAATAATTATAATGGCAAGATTATAATGATCATCCTGATAATCATAGTAATGATAATACTAGTAACAATCATGACCGCTGTGGCAGAATGCCAGGATGTTCACGGCAAATGTCTTGTAGTCCGGCATACAAAAGACTCATTTCACACTCGCCGAAAAAGCATCTTTGGCAAGAGCAAAGGCGCGAGGAGTCGCACGACAAGCCGAAGTTCAAGAGTACATGGACTTTGATCCGGAGGCCGCGCTGTTAATCAAGGTGACCATCGTAACGCTTGACTTCTTGTCTCAGGACTGGGTGAAGCGCGTTAAGATGATTGAGGGCGAGCGTGCCATCTTCGATGCAGCTTGGAACGCAGAATCCGGAAGCATTGCAACTTTCTGACCTGCACTACATATCTACATATATATATATATGTATGTATGTATATATGCGTATATCAAAATTTGTACATGCATACACTCAAAAGTAGTTAGTATATATATATATATATATACATAAACACAATGTCGTGTCTGTCCACCAGGTGACAATCCCAAAACCGCTCGGCTTGACGCCGGCCAACTTCCCGAACCGCCAGGGCTACGGCTGCTTCTTGTTTTCTGCCCTAAACCCTAAACCCTAAACCCTAAACCCGATGTTCTTTGATGTTGAGTGGCTGGCTCCGAAAAGGTCCAGGCGTTGGTGTGGCCAAGATCACTCCGGACGGATGACATGTACAGCTCTTCCTGATGCCTTGAGAATTCTGGCACCAGTGACCGCAGAGATGAGCCATGCCGCAGCCATCACCTGTTGCTCAAGGCAATGGGGCGGGGCTAGAGTCTAGAGCAGAGAACCTGTGGCCGATGGTTAGTTGGGGGCGTGCGGCTGGCCATGCAGATGCTTAGCTCACTTGGGGACACGTCTGCCAGGCCAGAACACGTGTTCAAGATGCCCTAAACTTGGGATGTTCCCCCTTATACTAACAGTCCTTAATCGGGTGCTAATAGGGGGTGCTCTCATCCTTATGAAGGACTGCTAGTATAAGGGGGAACATCCCAACACTAAACCCCTAAAACCACTAAAACCCCTAAAACCCCTAAACCCCCTAAACCCCTAAACCCCTAAACCCCCAAAACCCCTAAAACCCCTAAGACCCCTAAACCCCTAAAACCCCTAAAACCCCTAAAACCCCTAAAACCCCTAAGACCCCTAAAAACCCCTAAACCCCCCAAAACCCCTAAAAACCCCTAAACCCCTAAACCGCCGTTTCCGCTCTGCGCCGGTCTGCTTCTGCAAGCAGGTTGACGCTGGACGGGGCCTCGAAGAAGCCGGAGCTGCACAAACCCGAAGCTTATCCGTGGACAGGAGCTCTCCAAGACCCTAGAACTTGAGGAATTTAAGAACAGAATTATATACGAATATATTTTTATGAGATGTGAAAACTCTTAGTAGAGTTCAATCATTATACCAGCTGAATATAATGCGGTTAACAAACATATTGTCATCAAGAGTTTTTGAAGCATTCAGAGTGAATGAACAGGCGCCTGGGGTGGACCCGACCGCGACTGGACGCCGGCTCCGCCCAAGGCCCCGCGCCTGCGGATCTGCCGCCCTCTCGCGTCGCGGCGGGCGAGGAGGGTTGGGGTTTAGGGTTTAGGGTTTAGGGTTTAGGGTTTAGGGTTTAGGGTTTAGGGTCTTAGGGCTTCGGGCGTAGGGCTTAGGGCTTAGGGTCCCTTACCTCCCTTAAAAGGGTTCCGAAGTATGGGGCCCTTAGGGTTCTCTAGGCCATGAAACTACCCTAAGAGAACTGAACTTGTCAGGGGCGAGGTGGCCAAAGAAGTTCTTCATCAGCCCGACCTCGCCCTCTCCAAAGAGCCTATATCCTCCTTGGGAGTTTTTTTTTTTTATTTTTGTCTATATAAAACCCAAGAGGATATTAAAGATTTATGCAGGTTCTAAGGGGAGTATAGATACCCTAAACCCTAAACCCTAAACCCTAAACCCTAAACCCTAAACCCTAAACCCTAAACCCTAAACTTAAGGGGAGTATAGGAGCTGGGAGAGAGCTTGGCAGCTGTGGCCAATGTTCTCCAGGATTCCCGAGACCTGCGACTCTTGAGGCCGGTCTTTTAGTGTAGGGTTTAGGGTTTAGGGTTTAGGGTTTAGGGTTTAGGGTTTAGGGTTTATAATTATAAGGTTTAGGGTTTAGGGTTTAGGGTTTAACCAGTTTAGTTTAGGGTTTAGGGTTTGTAGGGCTTAGGGTTTACGGTTTAGGGTGTTCAACAGGGCTTAGGGTTGAGGGTTTGATGCAAAGAGCCATCGCTTTCACGGAGCCTCATCATGTAAGCTCTTCGGTGTGCGCTCTCCTTGTACCAGTCTGCTTCCAGACGGGCAAACACCTGGCATGCGCACGTCACAACAACCGTGGCACCTGTGTCGTACATACTTGGGCCCTACCAAATAGCCACTAGATGGGAACCTCTCTAAGGCCCCAGTTATGTACTTGCTACAAAGGTACGTGGACCCTAACGGATAAGTACTGTTACGAACGACCCTGGATCTTTTCTTGCAACCTGAAGTTTTCGCCGAGCATCATGCAAAATCTAAGCTTGAAGTCTGGGGGCGAAGACTGGCCGCCAGCCGCAGCGATGGGAGTACTTATCGTCTCGGAAGGTCCGGGCACCAATCCCTGTGGTAGGGAGCCGCTGTTTGCGGTGCAAGGACACAGAACTGCCACGTGGCACGGCAGGTGCGAAACAAGGCAGTGCATCGCATCTGCTGCGAACAGCAAACCCGATGGATGTCAACCAGATCTCCATTTAACTCCACCATACGTAATTGTTTACTTCTGTACACCAGCATACGCCTCTTGCCTCCACGTCTGGCGATCAGTCATGCTGCTTTGGAGCACGAGGATTGGCCGTTGGCACCGGCCTACAACTACCAAATATGGGGAACAGATGTGTTCAACTACTCAAGATGGGGAGAAGCTTTTTGATGTTCCCCTTGCTACCCTAAACCCTAAACCCTAAACCCTAAACCCCAAACCCTATCTACTCTCACTACACTGGAAGGTCAAAGTTGCAATCAGAGCCAGCCGCCGGTGCGACAAGGCCTTGCTAGCCTAGTGTTACCCTTTGGCCCTCTTTTTGGTTCTGGGTTCCCTGAAAATAGCCAACCCCAAAAAAGGGTGCCCTTAGTGTATGGTTACCCCTAAACCCTAAACCCTAAACCCTAAACCCTAAACCCTAAACCCTAAAACCCTAAAACCCTAAAACCCTAAAACCCTAAACCCTAAACCCTAAACCCTAACCTCCCCTTTCATATGGTTACTGGCCTACCAAGAGGCGAGCTTTGCGAGCCCTTAGCGCGCTCCTGCCTTCCGATGCCTCGAAAACTGGGCCTTTGGAACGCTGCGGCCTGCCAGAAGAAGACGGCAGGGACTAGGGATTAGGGTTTAGGGTTTCACCAGGGCTGAGGGAAGGGCTTAGGGTTTAGGGTTTAGGGTTTGGGGTTTAGAGTTTAGGGTTTAGGGTTTAGGGTTTCTTTGCCCTGTCATGAGTCGAGGTCAGCTTCCGCAGGATGTCGAGGCCTTGGTCCGCGTCTTGGACGCGGCCTCCCGAGCGCAATTCGAAGAATTCCGGGATCTTCTGCGCCGGCCACCGGTTCTTGAGGATCCTCGGCTTACAGGGTTTAGGGTTTAGGGTTTAGGGTTTAGGGTTTATGCAAAAGGGTTTAGGGCCCTTCTCTCTTACCAGTTGCTTCTAAGAACCCCCCCCCAAAAAAAAAAAGAAACGGCTTCTTCCTTCTAAGGGTTTTATCGGGAGTTTGTGTGACGTTTAGAGTCTTTTTGGGTTCTTGAGCAAGCAGTAGACTCTAAAGCTTAAACCCGACACTTGGATGACCCTCCTGCGGTGGTCCAGTGAGGGTGCACGTGTAGCAAGCGCCAAAGCTACGCGCTTACAACCCTCGGCTATGCCTCAAGCTGGATCCCATGTGCGTGTCCCAGACCCGTTTAGACGCTCCGATGCCACGAGATGGAACATGCAACATCCCGCCGGTACATTATACACGAACCTTTGCAGGTTGAAGTACTTTGGGGTTTGGGGGCATTTGGGTTTCAAGAAAAGGCCTCCACGAAAGTCCGCAAGGGGGCTGGTAAGAGCAGAACTAGATGTCGCGAAGAGCTGTACAAAGGAATTTGTTCCACGCCTATGTGTTATCATTGGGTATTCGTTTTGTAGGGTGAGGCGGGATTGTTGCGGTTTCTGCCGGTGTTAAGAGTAAGCCGGCCGATTGCTCGAAGCTTTTCGATGCGACACTTCTTAACCAGCAAGCAGATCTGCACTTAGGCAGATGAGCCATCCACCACACTTGTCAAGCTGGCTGTGCTGGTCTTGTCCTATCTGACTGCGCGCTTCGCGCCCGCACAGACAGCTGCAGCGGAGCCTGTCGAAGCCTCCACTGTCACACATGTCGATACAGCAGACAAAGAAGTGACCATATCCACCTTTGGAACTATTTTTGATTTTTGTTCATAGAAAACCCAAGAGGATATTGAAAATATTACTTTTATTAAGGTTCTAAGGGGAGTGTAGGTGAAAGCTCCAGAGCCGCGTGCGGAACCCAAGCAATACCCCGCCGAAGTGCAGAAGCAGCTGCGCAACTTGGTAGGCCCTTGCAATGTTTTATATGTTTTCCCTTACGTTTAGGGTTTAGGGTTTCAGGTTTCAGGTTTCAGGTTTCAGGGCTTTTTTTTCAGAGGGTTTTAAGGGCCATCCTAGGCAAGAATGGCAGCCTGGTAAGGGCTCTGCTGGCGGACGCCTGCTTGGATGCCTTGAACTTCGAAGGCCAGAATATGCAGGAAGCGTTCCTTGGTCATGGTTGGGTAAAGTTTTACATTTTTAAGGGTACATAAACCCAATAAGGAATATACAAGTGCATTTTTTATTCCTATCCCAACTATGACCTAGGTTCATGGAGAACGCCACCTTCCGCAAAGCAGTTCTTCGACGGTGTCGCCTGGAAAAAGCCAGTCTAGGACTCCAAACACGAAAACCATTGTCAGGAGCACGTGAAAAAGCCCGAAGATCCCAGCGTACCTCTGCTCCTGCAGGAAAAGCCAATATGACCTCCTGCTGCTTGGAGGGGGCACAGCTGCGCGAAGCCATACTCGATGCTGCACAGCTCTCTTGACGCAAATACAGTTGGGCCTTAGACCCTAAACCCTAAACCCTAAACCCTAAACCCTAAGGTCGAAGCAGCGATTAGCATACCATGCCCACTCTGCATGCGCATAAGGCTGGGGCACGTAAATGCCGTGGATGCGAACTTTACGGACGCAAGCCTCAACGGTGCCTTTGCAGCAAGGGTATGCACCTACCGCCTTTTTAACAGGAAATGCGCCGCTGGTTCTTAGTAGGGAATGAGGGAATGAGGGCCCTCTATAATCCCTTAACGGGTACATATAGGACCCTCATTCCCTCATTCCCTACTAAGAACCAGGGGGAATGCGCAGCACCATGTTGCACCCTGCGCCAGGCGTCTGCATGCGAACGGCGAACCTTTCTCGGGCCAGCTTTCAGCACGCTACCCTCCAACGTGCGGTGCTGGCCAACTGCAAGCTCGAGGGAACCAACTTCGAGGACAGAGAACAGGCCTAAAAAGGTGAGAGACGGTCATAACAGTAATGAGCAAAGTTCAATCTACAGATGCAGTACAATATCTCTTTGTGTGTAATGTTAAAATAAATACATCAAAGGTATAATTTAATAAATGAACAAATAAATACGATAAAAGTATATATATGTGTATATATATATATGTATATGTAGTTTCGTTTATATATATATACATAGATAGATCAGGATGCTGACATGTCCAGCTGCATCCTGGACGGCTCTGTGATTCTCAAAGCCAATCTTCTGCGGGCAAAGCTCAGGCAGGGCGCATAGGGTTTAGGGTTTTTAGGGTCTTTGGGGGTGTTGGGGGTTTTAGGGGTTTAGGGGGTTTAGGGGCTTCAGGGTTTTTAGGGTTTTGGGTGTTAGGGGTTTGGGGCTGCAGGTTTTTTTGGGCTTTAGGGTTTTGGGGCGTTAGGGGTTTTAGGGTTTCTCATCTTGGAGAGAAGCGCTGGCGCAGACCTCAGTCCATGCTTCAAGAATGGGTTTTAGAGTTGCAGAATCTTCTGTTCCCAGCACCGCAACCAACACAGCTTAGGTCGTCGAGCCTGCGATCGGTACGGCTCGAGGAGTGCAACCTGGACGATGTGGACCTCAGTCATGCGGACAGGGTTTAGGGTTTAGGGTTTAGGGTTTAGGGTTTAGGGTTTAGGGTTTAGGGTTTAGGGTTTAGGGTTTAGGGTTTAGGGTTTAGGGTTTAGGGTTTAGGGTTTAGGGGCTTGAGGGATCCGAGCCCAACTCCAGCGCCCCGAACTTGTCATTCTCCCGGATGCGCGCGGCAACTTGCTGCAAACAGGACCTGCACTCCATCACCGTGGTGGATTCTCATGCGCTGCGCGCCAAAATAGGAAAGGCTTCGCTGATGAAGGCGGGAAAACCTAAACCCTAAACCCTAAACCCTAAACCCTAAGCCCTTTTGTTGCGCGATTGACTTTCGGACCACAAAGCCCAGCAGCCTGCAGTCACATTGCAGAGCCTAGTCCAGCCGCCTTGGGAGGCCCAAGTTGTATAAGGTTTAGGTTTAGGGTTTAGGGTGTAGGGTTTAGGGTGTAGGGTTTAGGGTTTAGGGTTTAGGGGTGACGTTTTACCCGGAATTGCTCAAGGAAGCGTTTTATGCTTTCAGCATGCTGCCACGGCGGAGGCTGTGATAAAGAATGCGGCTCTGGCAAGCTCCCACCTTGCGGGGTCCAACCTGTGTGGGGCGCAGTTGGATGGTGTGGACTTAACAGGCCTGCAGCTGTAAGCCTAAACCCTAAACCCTAAACCCTGAACCCTGAACCCTGAACCCTGAACCCTGAACCCTGAACCCTGAACCCTAAACCCTAAACCCTAAACCCTAAACCCTAAACCCTAAACCCTTCCCAAAAGGGTTCAAGATTTAGGGTGCCGAGTCGGGGCTCAAAAGGGTTTAGGGCGCAAAGAAGCCAAAATTGGCTGGATCTTAGTAGGGAATGGTGGAAGGAGGAACCCTACATAATCCCTTAATGGGCATATATAGCGGATATAGAGTACCTCATTCCCTCATTCCCTACTAAGAACCAGCCCAGAGAAGGGCGGGTTTAGATTTTGCCAGGTGCCGACTTGCTACGAGCAACCGCCAGAGGAATCAAGCTGACCAAGGCTCCAGGGCAGTTCAGTCATAAGTTGCTTTCAGGCTTTGGGTTTGTTTAAAGGGTTTTGGGGTTTTGGGGTTTAGGGATAATTACCACTCCTTGGGGTTTTGGGGTCGGTTTAGGGTTTAGGGCTACCAATCACAATGTGGGTTCAGAAAAGGGCGAAGAATCCCCACCTGTGTACCACATTGCTGACAGTACGAGTGTTGGCCAGGGGGTTGAGCTCACGCCTCACAGCTGTTCACACTGTATGTCTTCTGTATATATACATATGTATATATTCATATATATATGTATATCTATCATTGATTTAAGAGTCATATCACAGACTTATTTTGGCGTTATAAAATGTACATCATAAATGTTCGTACGACTTTAGTATTGTGTAATTGCACTTTGCACGATCTGGCTGCGAGGTTGCGTTGGTACCCTTTGCATTCGGGGCTAGACTTCGGCGTTTGATTCATATGTACTGTCTACAAGTGGATAACTTTCATCGTACGTTTACACGGCAACTCAGATGTGCCAAATCGCCCCCCCCACATTCTGAAGTTTTCTCAGCTACCGAGGTCACCCTGAACAAAGCACAGCTTGCGGGGTCTTCCTTGGACGATGCCAAAATTGGGGAATGTTCCTTCTTAGAGGCCGACGCCCTGTGGCAATTGGCTGCTTTGTCTAGGCTGTGTGCTCCAAGATGTTCCAAGCGCGCATGTCTGTTTATTCAGCGGTACTGCGCGCTGCTTCCGCAAGAAGTCTTCTGGAGCTCCTGAAATACGATCCGGTTCCACGTCGCTGTTGCACCATCACCAAGCTCGTCCGACAGTAAGAACGTCCGCCCTCAGGTCCAGAAATCTCAGCTTTGCCAGGACATGACAGCAGAACCCCGGAAAAATTCGGGTGTTGCCAAGCAGTTGATGAGGGCAGCACCTCCCTCACACGATTTGAAGTTTACAAGCGCACCGTTACAGAGCTCAGGTGCTTCTGAAAGCGCTCACAACTGAGCCGGCAATTGACAGCCCTTACAAAAAAAGCTGCAATGTTCATGTGTTACCCTAAAGCCAAAACCCAAAACCCCCTTCAGCCTTCAGCTATGCGGGCGAAAGTAAGACAAACCCCAAACGACATTTTGAAAGAAGCCACTCCCATGGCCCCGTCGGGTCCGCTTCCGATTGCTATTGGCGTGCCGCACGCAACATTCTGTCAACGGCCGGAAAGCTCATCAAAGCCGCGGGAGTTTGCTTCTGCCGGCAAGCTTCTCTACATTGAGGGCCTCCCAAGTAAACCCTTGCAATCTGATGCGCAGTGTCACGCTGTTGTCTGGCCATTGTTGATGATGTTGGTGTTGTGTAATGAGTTAGTTGCAGCAGCGACGTGCCCGGCTTTCCGCAAAAAGTATAACCGCCAAGGACTTGCAGCAGAGCAGCTTCGAAGAAGTCACTTGGGCGGACTGCATGTAAATTTCCTGTACATAGCAGGTGCGCCTGACTTGCGCCTGAGGGACGAGGCCCTAGCAAGCTGGAAAGATGCTGAGGCGCATGTATCGGCGACCGCCTTCCGCAAATCGGACTTGCGAAATGCACTGATGACCAAAGCAGATATTTCGAACTGCGACCTCTCAGATGTCAAGGCGGATGGTAGCTTGGAACGCAGCATAAGCCATGCAAACATGCTGTGTGTGTGTGTGCGCGCGGAGATGCGCGGAGCAAGAAGCATTCTGGAGTCTCACACCAACGATGACGCTCGAGTTTGCTTGTGACGTCCTGGAAAGATGTCCCCTTGACATACCTGAAACTGCCTGCAACTTGTGACATCGGCAAAATCATGCAAGCGTGTACGGTTCCCAGCTGGTGGCATTGCACTGTGCAAAGCCCCCATGCTCGAGCAAGTTGGGGCCAGTTTTGCTTGTTTGCGTTCAGTTTGGTGGCAGAACGATTGTGGACGCCTGAAGGGCTCACGGGGTATAGCAGAATGGGCACCACATGACCCTGTGTGGTCCCAAGAAACCCTTTCATGTCTATAGTCTGATTTGTGTGTCTTGCTGTCCCCCTTGTCCCCTGCTTTACTTCGGGTTTTTTTCAATTCGATGGTTCTTACAGCAGGGGGTGGTAGGGTCCCTGTGCGGCTACCACCGACGCAGCTCCGCGCAGAAGGATCAGGATACCTGCTTGAAGGTGTTTATGAACATCTTCTTCCCCAGCATCCTCACAGTACATGGTTGGTCTTCGATGTGCTTTGTTTTGTCCATTGTTTGTTCTCAGGGCAACATGACGGCATGGGATTGGCCGGGCTTTATGCATTCGATGCGGGCCTTGACAGCCTTACGAGATTGCGCTCGGCATGTCAGTGCAAACCCCGAAAAGGGGGTTAAGTGGTGAGCCTTGCCTCGTTAGCCGCAGGGTGCAGAGTCGGTGATGCACAATGCCAGGATCAGCCCGGATGGCAATTGAGCGAGAGTCGTTTTTTTGAGATGACGATGGTCATGATGTCATGAATGATTTGCAGCCGTTTGCTGCGCAAACTTTACACAGACTTCCGGTACAGGGAGGTCAGGGTAGGCCAGGGTGCCATAGATTGTTTCCAGCTCATGTTCTGTCATTCGGCGGGGTGGTCGTCGCTCCTCACGTGTTCTAAGCCTGCACCACTGAGCAGGAGGGAGCGAGTGATTGAGTGAGTAGGATGGGACTCGTGCGCTCTGCCTGGTACCAGTTGCGTATGTCGCCACCAGAACCTGCCTCCGCAGCAGGCTTCGGGTTGATGACAGATACCTACCAATTGCCTATAAGAACCGCCCAAACAAATCAAAAATATTCTAGGTCCTTATAAGGGTGTTATAGGGAATATGATTTTTTTGGGGG